ACTAACATTTCTGATGTTATGGTTTAAGTTGAATATCTTTATGCCCGAAAGTTTATACTGAAGCCTAAACTGTACAACTTTCCAAAACTTTCTCACTCACTCACTCACTCACTACTAGATACTCAAATTCGAGCGGATGGCTGTAATGACTAGATAGTGCAATATCACAATTGGCTGCAGGGATAGAGATGTTTTTTTGTTATTCCCATCGTGTATGGTTGTGAGTGAGTGAGTTTACTTTTACGCCGCTTTTAGCAATATTCCAGCAATATCACGGCGGGGTACACCAGAAATTGGCTTCACACATTGTACCCATGTGGGGAATCGAACCCGGGTTTTGGTGGTGACGAGAGAACGCTTTAACCACTGTGCTACCCCACCGATGTATGGAAAATTGTAATGACAGATTCTCTTGTTCCTATCACATGCCACAATGTTTTCCTTGTTAATGGAGGCGACGTGTCGTCATATCATCACATTGTCGTAAATAATTGAATTTTATTACTGATGACGTCACAGTAGGGTTAGGTGACGCATTCCCAATACCTGACACCTGCAGTGCCCGCACGTCACTGGGAAACCCAGTTTTCACATTACATCGTTTTATCACAGAAAAGATTATGGGAAGGATGTCTAATGTTCTACAGTTGATTGGAATTCCTGGTTATCTGTTCCCGTACGTGTGGGCACATCGGCTCATAAATTGTTTTGTAGTGAGTGAGTATTGTTTTACGCCGCTTTTAGCAATACTCCAGCAATATCACGGCGGGGGGGACACCAGAAATGGGCTTCACACATTGTACCGGGTCTTCAGTGTGACGAGCGGACGCTTTAACCCCAAGGCAACCCCACCGCCCCTTAAAGATTTGGAAGATGGTTTCGTAAAACTTAATCAGACTTAGGCCGGCTCCACATTACGACCGAAACATTTGACGCATGCGTTGATCCGTGCCATTTTATATGCACACTTTACGCGATTTTCCACAGTTTATGAACTGCGTTTTCATTCACGATTTAAGATGGACCTAAGCAAGTTAGTTGCGGTCGTGACGCTGATGGAGGAGGTGGAGTTGGCAGAAGAAACGGAGGAAGAACTTCTGACAAGTGTAATCTCTTTGCACTACAATAGTGATATTTCAGAGAGGAGATGGTGGGTACAATCACTCAATGGCACAAGGAGGGTTCTTATTATCGACTGATAAAGGAACTGGAACTCTATCCTCAGATATACTTAGTAGTGGTGGTCCGATTAATTGAAATAATCGAAGATTGGTCGCAGTGACTAAACGACCAAGCAATCGATCATGTTTTCTCATAATCGAACACAAACAATTCCGGAAAACTTGTTTTCATTAACAGTAATTTTCACAAGGTTGGTTTTGTCTGTTACATTTCATAAGCACTACAAGCTCGTTCCAAGTCAAGATTAAATATATCTTAAAGACTCTAAGGAATTCATGTTCCTAACATACTAGTCATCCTTTAAAGATGGGAAATTTTGCCAAAAAAACCTTAAAGTACTACATGTTTTTTCCGTATTTTTTTGTGTACATGTATTAACAAATTTCATAAATGGCGCTAACCAATTATTTTCGATGATTGATCGGTTGTAATGAACCAATCATCAATTATGAGATTTTAACCAATTCCCAACACTAATACTTAGGGTATTTCCGCCTTTCTAAAGAACAGTTTCCATGACGTCAAGATTTGTATTCGTTGCTATAAAATTGCATTAAAACAGCTGTATTAACAGTCCATTGTACAGTAACACCCAAAGCTTGAGATATTGATGTCCAGATATTATTAATGTCGTCCATATCTCGATAATCCTTACTCCTCTTGTCATAAAGAGCAGGGTATTTCTCTACCATGTTTATGAGATTTTTTTCACACCCGTGATGTCTGAAAACATAAGACTATCAACTGTATATTTATTCACTAAGTGTATCAAATGAAATGCGCTGATATCAATGGAAACTTACATTTGTACGCCAAAACAGAGAAGAGAGTACGTAGCTGATTGCAGCCACGAGGTGGGGAAACACCCTTGAGCACTTGTAAATATATTACGTCTTCAAAGGACTGACTGACTGAATTTGGTTTTAGCGCCGCTTTAAGCAATATACCAGCAACATCACGGCGGGGGGACATCAGAAATGGGCTTCACGAATTGTACCCATGTGGGGATTCGAACCCGGGTCTTCGGCGTGACGAGCCAACGCTTTAACCACTAGGCTACCCTACCGCCCCCGTCATCAAAGAAATTCCCATGCGTTTTCCAATGCGATGCGTCAAAAATAGGTTCAGGACCTATTTTCATCGCATCGCATCGCATCGCATCGCATCGCAACGCATTTACAAAACGCAACGCACGACGCAACGCAAGAAAAATCGGATGTATTGTGAATCCCCCCTAACAGTAAATACCTTTTTACAAATATCTGGTATTGCAGCTATAGCGGAAACAATGCTAATCCCCAAACAAATTCGTAGCCACCCTACCCCTCCAATCTCCGAAAATATCATGGTCAGTCTTTTAGTAGCTGAATGATGGAGAGGATCTCATTTTTTCACTCTATCAGTCAAATCTATTCAAGAATATTTGATTTTCACCCGCTCGTGGCTGATACATTGCTCGCAGACAAAAGGTGAGTGAATTTAGTTTTATGCCGCACTCAGCAATATTCCAGCTATATGGCGGCGGTCTGTAAATAATCGAGTCTGGACCAGACAGTCCAGTGATCAACATCATGCGAATCGATCTACGCAATTGGGATACGATGACATGACCACTCGATTAGTTGCCTCGTAAGACAAACATGGGTTACTGAAGATCAATTCTAACCCGGATCTTCTCTGGTCCGCAGACAGAAAGACGAAATCCTGGTCTCAGTGTGTTTTTCTCGCTGTAAATACAAGGTTTGACAGCTTTTGCTGAAACTTGATTTGTATTTGCAGTCCATACTATTAACATGGGGAAAATGGACGAAGGTTTACAAATATTTTATGACATTAAAATGATGTTATTGGAAGTTGGAAATACCACAGACTAATGACCACGTTCCACTATCTTAAACCCGAAAAGGGTCATAATGATGACGAGCATCGGATATATTCGAGACCATGGGCGGTCGGGTAGCCTAGCGGTTAAAGCGTTGGCTCGTCACACCGAGGACCCGGGTTCGAATCCCAACATGGGTATAATGTGTGAAGCCCATTTCTGGTGTCCCCTGCCGTGATGTTGCTGGAATATTGCTAAAAGCGGCGTAAAACCAAAACTCAGTCAGTCAGTCAGTCAGTCAGTCAGTCTTACGGTAACAGAGCCAAGGTGCAAAACATGTATCTGTATTGTAGGTTTATAGTCCAGGTTGGTCAAATCACGCACGTGACAAATGTGCATTCGTGGCCAACTCCCCACTGGTCATCTATTACACACACGTGCAGTGTTCGAAATAACCACTGGCCCGCTAGCCTGTGGCTAGTAAAAATCCAGTCGGGCCAGTAAATCTCCATAGTCACTGGCCCGAGTGGCTAGTGAATTTTCATGGAGTCATTTTGTAAATACATGTATATCATTCTCTCCGACTTGTTAAGTTATAATACACTTATGAATCATGCAAGATTATGGCCTGATAAAAATGTTCATCATATTAGCAGCTTATTGATGAAACCCGTGGTTACATTCAAATTTCGGGGCAGTGAATAATTTTGTGGGCTAGAAACTATTTCGCACACTGCACATGTGCCATAGATGCTTCGGTCAAACTAAATGATATAATCCTGATTTTCGTCATCGTCAGTAAATCAGTAAATGCGATTACCTGTGGGAGCTGGAATGGGTATAAATTAGGGACGACAGATAGTCCCACATCATTCGGCGGTTGTCTGATAAACACATTGTTTATTCACCAGGTAAGCAAGTTTAATGTCTTCTACTTTGATAAGTCATTATCATTGTTATTATGTCTTAAGTTTAATCTTTGGGAGGTTGGGTAGCCTAGTGGTCAAAGCGTTCGCTTGTCACGCCGAAGACCCGGGTTCGATTTCCTACATGGGTACAAGTAGTGAAGCCCATTTCTGGTGTCCCCCACTGTGATATTGCTGGAATATTGCTAAAAGCGGCGTATTGACATACTCACTCACTCCCTATTCTATTTTGTAGTACAAAATGAGTATAATCTAAGAATAGTACGTGGATAATGTACGAAAAAATCGCAAATAATCCAAGAATATTCCATTTCATTAAAATGGGCTTGTTTGTTACTATCAAAATTATATATATTCAGAGACTAAGCGTTAGTCTAAGCAGGAACCTGAAGGAGCAGTCATTTACAAACAAGATGAGTTATCTTTAATAAGCATTTCTGTGTCATGGGCCAGGCCACAGATCGGTTCCCGTTGTTGGTGATCTTGCCTAAAATGGCTGCAATATTATATAAATGGAATTCCATCACATATTTACAAGACCGGCCAGGAGTGTGTGTGCGTTTGTGTCTGCGTTCTTGCGTGGTTTTGTGTCTGTGTGCGTGTGTTTGTGTCTGTGTGTGAATTTTAAGTGTGTGCTAGTTGTGTATGTGTCTGCTTGTGCGCGTGCATATGCGTGTACAAGCATGCAATCGACAAGAAACAAATACTTCCAATAATATGTTTTGATCCAATTTTCAGGGGAAAAGTTATATGTGGCGTGTATGGCTGCGCCGTCTCTACTCAGAGCTAGTGTTGTACAGTGGCAAGGGATGAAAACAGATACTTGGCGGACTGAAGCATGATATTTTGCAAAGTGCTGGGGAATATCATGATAAAACATATTTTTGGGGTATGCCCGATTTTTGGGGCCCATTTTCCGAAAAAAACCAAGATGGCGTCCAAGATGGCCGCCAGAAATCAAAGATTCCCAATTCTGACACTATGTGACTTTTCCCCGCTGGATTAAAACAGAACACCTTGGTGTGCCCAAATTGTGGGCAATTTCCGAAAAATAACGAGAATAACGCACAGAAAGTGATTTGTTTTATTTCAGCGTTCAAATACAGAAAATTACTCTGCGTCAACCAAATGCTCACAGTACCATAGAGTCACGACATCCACGTATGGCATCGGCACAGGTTATGGCTTCAGTTTCCAGACTTTGATGTAGTTCACTTGCAGAGCCGCCCCCTCCCCGTTGTTCTGTGTCGGCTTCCACGTGGGGGTACCATAGATTCCTGGCGTTCCAGAACGCGGTACTGTCAGCATCTTTCCAAGGCTTGGGGTACGCGGCGTTGACGAGGTTGTCGGAGAAGTAGTTTTGTCCGCCCACGGCAACGTTCAGGATGATGTAGAACTGCGATTAAGGAAGCAAGAAACATTATCTCAAGAATGTGAACATGTGACCGAAATAGAGAATCGCAACGGATTCATCTTCCATTGTCAAGAGTGGATATTTTATCCATGAAATTTAGCAAAGCCTCGTGTCCAAAATAATACATGTTCTGTCGTGCCATCTTCTACGGGGAAGAGCTGTGGGGAAGGCTACTGAGGAAAGCTTTTGTTCGTCACACCAAAGACCGGGTTCGATTTCCCACATGGGTACAATGAGCGAAGCCTATTTATGGGTCCCTCGCCCTGTCATTACTGACAGTGAGTGAGCAAGTCGGGTTTAGTCTATTTCCCTTTGAGAACCGTGAAGATCCGGGATCGATGCTCATGTTATTGATCACTGGATTGTCTGGTCCAGACTCTATTATTTACAGACCGCCGTCATATTGCTCACTCGGTATTTCCCTTAGAACAGATTGCTTCAGTTTTGTGATGGAAGACAGCCCAAAATGAAGCTGGTATCTGGAAATTCTTGAAGGTGAAAGAAACCCTGGTGCACGACGCTTTGCTTTTTTCATTTTTTTCAAGTCACGATATGGCTGAAATATTGCCGATGTGACGTTAAATATTAACTCACTCACTCACTCACTCATTTTTTTCAAAACAAATATTTAGCCTCATACCTTAAACGTGCTTTGGTTATAAGACATCCAGAGTCCCAGATCAACACTGTACACACTGTACACGACATCCTCAGTTCACACCCCACATACATGTCTCCAAACGCCTAATACACTCACATTCAGCCCACAACCAACCCACATCCCTCAAACCCAGTTACACTGACCCTAAGTCCACATCCCCAAACCCCAGACACGCTAGTGACCCTAAATCCACATCCCCAAAACCCAGACACTCTGCCCCTCAACCCACATCCCTCAAACCCAGACACACTGACCCTCAGCCCACATCCCCAAAACCCAGACACACTGACCCTCAGCCAACATTTCCAAAACCCAGACACGCTGACCCTCAGCCCACATCCCCAAAACCCAGACACACTGACCCTCAGCCCACATCCCCAAAACCCAGACACACTGACCCTCAGCCCACATCTCCAAAACCCAGACACACTGACCTTCATCCCCATATGTCCAAAACACAAACACACTGACCCTCAGCCCACATGTCCAAAACCCAGACACACTGACCCTCAGCCCACATCCCCAAAACCCAGACACGCTGACCCATAGCCCACATCCCCAAAACCCAGACACACTGACCCTCAGCCCACATCCCCAAAACCCAGACACGCTGACCCCCAGCCCATATCCCCAAAACCCAGACACACTGACCCTCAGCCCACATCCCCAAAACCCAGACACACTGACCCTCAGCCCACATCTCCAAAACCCAGACACACTGACCCTCAGCCCACATCCCCAAAACCCAGACACACTGACCCTCAGCCCATATCCCCAAACCCAGACACACTGACCCTCAGCCCACATCCCCAAAACCCAGACACACTGACCCTCAGCCCACATCCCCAAAACCCAGAAACGCTGACCCTAAGTCCACTGACTCTCTGCTCACCTCTACGTATATCAAATAGTATGTCCCTAAATCTAAAAATACTATGCTATCATGTTTCAAAAAGTCAACACTTTGATTGATTCACATTATCTAATGGGTACTGTAACCCAGAGACATAGCTGTATATTTACCTCTTGGTCAAAGGGGGCCATCTTTGATGCTCCAGCCCAAGGATTGTTAAAATGTGTTTTGTCATAACCGCCATATTTCCAGAATCCGTCTTTACCTGGGTCCACGGTGAGGATTAACTCGCCGTCGAGGAAGAACCTATTGCCGGGGAAAACAGAAAGACGAAGTAGGTAATCTTTATTGAGGTACCAGCAGATCATTCATTACAGTAAGTAGTACAACTCATTTAAATGACTCGAACTTTATTTAAATGAATGAATTTGCGTTTTTCTTTTTGTATTTCAACGCTAATAGTTGGACAGTTTGATGCGATTTAAGTTAGTTGTGAAAATACAAAAAAGCCAAATGAAAATAGGTGAGGTGAAATGGGGTTTAATGTCGTACTTACACACACACACACACACACACACAAACACACACACACAGAGAGAGACAGACAGACACACACACACACACACACACACACACACACACACACACACACACACACACACACACACACACACACACACACACACACACACACACACCACCCTCATCATCACCCACCCACCCACCCAAAAACCACCCCGGACATAATCCTCCCCATCCTGAACATTAAAACGGACGAACTCCCCCCTACTCATCTTTAGCTTTAGATTAAAGGTTCTTTAATCCTTGTTATCATGTTTTGATATTTGATAAAACAGCTTCATTTACAATTGCAGAAGAGTTGGAGAAGATTGTTTTAGCTATGTAAAGTGGCATAGAACTGGCAAAAAACGGACTTAATCACCTTTGATGTTAATTGGTTGAACAGGGACTGATTGGTATAATTAACTCTTTCCTTTAATCTTTTAATCCTAAATATGTCAAACAAAAATAAATGTGCAATGAATGATGTGAATGTGCTCAAAGTATATGCTATGTGCTCTTTGGTCTTGTTGAAATATTGACAAATAATTAATGATGTGAATGTGCTCAAAATATGTGCTATGTGCTCTTTGACCTTGTTGAAATATTGACAAATAATTAATGATGTGAATGTGCTCAAAATATGTGCTATGTGCTCTTTGACCTTGTTGAAATATTGTGCTATGTGCTCTTTGACCTTGTTGAAATATTGACAAATAATTAAATGGATATCTTAAACTTGTTTGATTGTTTTTCCTTTGGGGGGATTTTGTCCGGGGGGATTTTGTCATACGACACACTTTCGAGGGGGATTTTGTCCGGTTAACGCTTGTACTAGCCCAGACTTAAGCTAGTTTAATAGTGCTAACCCACTGATATACCATGCCGCAGTGAAGCATGAATACCCCACTCAGACACATTATACCGACTCCGAGCAAACCAGTCCTTGTTGTTCCCAGTAATGCCGAGCGCCAGGCAAGGACCAACAAGTACCATATTTTAACGTCTTTTGGTATGATGCGACCGGGGATCGAACCCGCGACCATCCGCTCTCTCTCTCTTCTAACCACTACACCACAGAGGCGGTCCCAAATGAAAATAAACGTCCAACATGTTACTAAGAAATGTATAATATATATAGTTCTATAATTTATATCAAACCTTTTATATCGCAACCTCACAAGGCAATATCGCGACTTGAGTAACTATACGCATGATTATATACTCTTAAAAAAAAGTAGAGGAACTTGATTCATAATTGAACCGCCTCCGTGGTGTAGTGGTTAGAGCGTCCGCCCGGAGAGCGGAAGGTCGCGGGTTCGATCCCCGACGGCGTCATACCAAAAAGACGTTAAGATATGGTACTTGTTGGTCCCTGCCTGGCGATAGGCATTAATGGGTACAACAAGGACTGGTCGGCTCGGAGTCAGTATAATGTGTCTGAGTGGGGTATTCATGCTTCACTGCGACATGGTATCTCAGTGGGCTAGCACTATAAAACCAGCTTAAGTCTGGGCTAGTACAAGCAGCCGCACATACACATATACACGCATGCACGTCGTCATATGAGCGAAATATTCTCAAGCACGACGTAAAACCCAATTTCACCTCACCTCACCATTTATAATTGACGACTAAACAAATTGTGAGATATATCGGAGTCAATCAATGTTGATATGATGATAACGAATGCTTTTAAGAGTACATCACCAGCTGCACTTCCTTCTGATCATAGTTGTTCGTACAGTAATCGCTTTTGAAAGATGATTGGTGTATGACGTGAAATTAATTTTCAAACAAAAAAAACGGCTAGAAACAAACACTAACAGCTGTGTGATGCAAGATGATTGCCAAAACTAAGGGTCTTCAGTGATTTATCGACCTTCATGAAAACCAGACCGCCTCCGTGGTGTAGTGGTTAGAGCGTCCGCCCGGAGAGCGGAAGGTCGCGGGTTCGATCCCGACCGCGTCATACCAAAAGACGTTAAAATATGGTACTTGTTGGTCCCTGCCTGGCGCTCGGCATTAATGGGTACAACAAGGACTGGTCGGCTCAGAGTCAGTATAATGTGTCTGAGTGGGGTATTCATGCTTCACTGCGGCATGGTATCTCAGTGGGCTAGCACTATAAAACCAGCTTAAGTCTGGGCTAGTACAAGCAGCCACACATACACACGCATGCACGTCGTCATATGAGCGAAATATTCTCAAGCGCGACGTAAAACCCAATTTCACCTCACCTCATGAAAACCAGCAAAATCAAGAATGACACCCCATGCACGTGTCTGGGGCGGTTTAACCTCACTGTGCCCTCCAGCTAAATTTTATGACAAGCGATTTAGTGGGTGTGTGTTGTGACAAGGTATTAACTGGCTCTGAGCCCCAGCAGCTTTGCGTTGAGAACACTAAGATCAGAGTTAATGTAAATGGTGCTGTACTTACTTCATGTTATTTTCATCCCACTCCAGACCATACTTGTGGAAAGAATCTCCAAATGTTCCATGTTTACTGTCCCTGAAATAAACAAATGGTCACGTGTTCACAGAGAAGCGGCAGCTATCTTGGATCAGTTGTATTTGTGTATTTGTTTGTTGTTTAACGCCGCACTCAGCAATATTCCAGCTGTATCTGTAAAAGCAAGCATGGGTTGCTAATAATAAATTCTAACCAGGATCTTCACGGGTATATATGTATATACTATGGTATGGATCACCCAGTGAAGATCATGATTAGAATTGATCCTCAGCAACCAGTGCTTCTGGTAAGTGAGTGAGTGTGGTTTAACGCCGTTATTAGCAACATTCCAGCAATATCACGGCGGGGGGACACCAGAAATGGGCTTCACACATTGTGCCCATGTGGGGAATCGAACCCGGGTCTTCGGCGGGACGAGCGAACGCTTTAACCACTAGGCTGCACCACTGCCACTCTTTTGGTAAGAGGGTGGTCAGGCTCGCTGACATGTTAGCACATGTCATTGTATCCCAATTGCGTAGATCGATGCTCTTGGTGTTGATCAGGGGATTGTCTGGTCTAGATTCGATTACTTACAGATAAACAAACAAACAAACAGATATAGTATGGATCACTTCCTGCCTCGACCTATTACTGCTGAAATCTTGGAAAATTGCTAAAAAGTGTAAAAAAGAATAGACAATCTTGTCTCGAAAATTGGATACATTGATATATTTTCATCAGGATCTCGATGAGGTTTAATATATGCTTATAGTAAAGTTCTGAATACGTTTATATATGCATACGAACACGTGTTTATGGACAGTAGACCGATTTGTCTATAGCCGTACCTTTCTGCATGTCCAAGATCCCATCTGTCGTGTGTCCAATCGGGGCCGAAGTGGATAGTACTGCCCATGTGGTTCACGCCCTGCGACTGACCATTGGATTCTGTGTAGTGCAGGTTGCCTAGCAACATACAGTAGTACAGACTTGCTCATAAACGTACAAAGTGCTCAAAATCGTTGCTGGAATCCCCCTCTCCAAGTTCCGAGCTCTGATGACATTTTGTTTGTTTTTTTGTCCCGATATCGCCTATTATGCTAACGGTAACGATTATATACAAAGCACGGATAATACGATCCCAAACAAGAATGGAACTGTCCAGTGCGCATGTATACTGACCTCGACTCTCCATGATGTCGATTTCACCGGAAGCAGGCCATCCGCCATATGCATCGTAAGTCGGCATCATCCAAATTGCTACGGAAGACAACCTCATCAGAATGAAGATGTGTATATTAAGTATAATAAAACATCGAAATCAGTCGAGTGTGCACACGTAGGACGGTCCCAACCATGCTTGTCGTACGAAGCCACAAACGAGATAGGATGGTAAGGCTCGGACAAATGCCTGATGCTTGTCGTCGTATCCCATTTGCGTAGATAGTGAGTGAGTGAGTTCAGTTTTACGCCGCTTTTAGTAATATTCCAGCATTATCACGGCGGGGGATACCAGAAATGGGCTTCATACATTGTACTCATGTGGAAATTGAACCCGGTCATCGGCGTGACGGGGCGGTGGGGTAGTCTAGTGGTTAAAGTGTTGGCTCGTCACGCCGAAGACCCGGGTTCGAATCTCACATGGGTACAATGAGTGAAGCCCATTTATGGTGTCCTCCGCCGTAATATTGCTGCAATATTGCTAAAAGCGGCGTAAAACCAAACTCAGTCAGTCAGTCAGTCATCGGCGTGACGAGTGAACGCATAGACCATTGGGATACCCCCACCGCCCCCCAAAACAAATGAATTGCAGTGTAGACAAGAATTTAATCACTTAAGATGGTTAACCGCCGCCATATAGCTGGAATGTTGCTGAGCGCGGGCGTTAAACAACCAACCAACCAAACAACCAACCAACCAACCAATCCACATCGGTACAATGTGTCCTGGTGTACCCCGCCGTGTTATTGCTGGAATATTGCAAAAGGCAGTGTAAAACTAACTCACTACGTATTTAAATCCATAAACTGCATAATCTTTTGGCTGAAATCATTTTTAATCTTTTCTGTGAAAAGTATATATAGGCACCTATACAGAATATCAAATAATCTTCCGGTGTCCACCTACCTGGCCACAGCCAGTCCCCAGTCGGAAGCTTAGCCTCGATCTCAACCTTTCCATATTTGAAATTAAAACCACGTGAGCTCCTGAGCTTCGCTGATTGGATAGGATTTACAACACGCCCAGGAATGCCCTGCCTCTCACAGCCATAGAACTGGTTTCCTGTACACGTATCATGGGGACCAGCGCCTGCAGCAGGAAAAGATATGTCTGTACTTAGATCTAGCTTACCGTGCACATTAAAATCGGATTATGGTGAGGTGGGGTGAAATGGATTTTGACGTCGTACTTGAGAATATTTCGCTCATATGACGACGTGCATGTGTGTGTATGTATGGCTGCTTCTACTAGCCCAGGCTTAAGCTGGTTTTATAGCGTTAGCTCACTGAGATACCACGCCGCAGTTAAGCATGACTACCCCACTCAGACACATTACACTGACTCCGAGCCGACCAGTCCTTGTTGTACCCATAAATGGCGAGCGCCAGCCAGGGATCAACAAATACCATATTTTAACGTCTTTTGGTATGACGCGGCCGGGGATCGAACCCACAACCTTCCGCTCCTCGGACGGACGCTCTAACCACTACACCACGGAGGCGGTGAACACCGCTCACCGTCATAGACTTAGTCATCAGCACTGAAATAAAATAGATATTGTCAATGGTACTACATACAACATACCACACGCAGTTTTGTATCTCGGATTGATTAATATATAAATCCGATATTTTCCGAATGAAATATATATCAGAAATTAATGTAAAGTTTGTATGTATGTGTGTGTGGATCTTTAACATAAGAGTGAGATAAGGGCGGTAACTCACCCCACAGTTCCAGTTTGCCGTGCTCCAAGAAGTTCAGGCCATACTGATCGGACGTCAATGTCTGCAAGCAGGACATTTTGGTTTGTAAGCAGTAATGAAAAACTCGTTGGAGTTCTGGGATATATTTGTCCCCAGTAACACATGTTTGTCCTACGATGCGAACTGTTTACCTTGTAAACTGAGAATGAAGCGGCCCTTGAAGCCAACGCATAATTGCAAATTCCCTTCTCCGAAAAGTCACTGGAAACGATGTATTCAGATGTATTTGTGTGTTCATGATCTGCATGCTAAAGTTTGGCCTACGATTTATGAGTTTTATTGTGAGAGCGTGATATGAATTCAAAAAAGCGTGACTCTTACGCCAAAGGAATGAAAGTTGGCAGTTATGATCTGATATATTATACCTATTGTTGTAACTACGAACTGGGTAAAGTTCGGCTACCCCTTTACTAACCCTTTGCCGGGGCGGTGGGGTAGCCTAGTGGTTAAAGCGTTCGCTCGTCACGCCGAAGACCCTGGTTCGATTCCCCACATGGGTACAATGTGTGAAGCCCAGTTATGGTGTCCCCGCCGTGATATTGCTGGAATATTGCTAAAAGCGGCGTAAAACCAAAACTCACACACTCACTAACCCTTTGCTCATCCAAACTATCAGAAATATGTACGTGGTTGTAACCTGTTTTAGAACAGTTCGACTAAAATAAATAATGCATAAACATGATAGAATATACTGAATGTAGTTGAAGGCATTTCTCGTGTTTAACGTACGGGTTTCAAGTAGAGAACACCGTTCTTCACATAGCTGTTGGTACGGTTGTTTGTGTAGTACTGGAACTCCCAGTTCTGTAACGAAAGAAAATAGATTTTACAGACGCTTCTAACACTGGAGCACAGTTTCTGAAAACTGAACTGAAGAGGCTACAAAACAATAAAGTGGATAGCTTGACTGTTAAAACTGTCAATATTGCAAAAACTGCTCGTTTATTGCCCTCTTGTCTATGCCCTCATATCGCTCGTGAAGGGGTGGGATAGCCTAGTGGTTAAAGCGTTCGCTCGTCACGCCGAGGGCCGGGTTTGATTCCCCACATGGTACAATGTGTGAAGCCCATTTCTGGTGTATCCCGCCGTATTATTGCTGGAATATTGCTAAAAGCGGCGTAAAACCATACTCATTCACTCACTCACTCTCTGGTGTGGTTTCGAATTTGGTTTTTTTAATGCATTTCATTCATCCTCCTGTGTGTTCTGTAGTATCAGACTGTAATTTTCTACAAACAGTTCATAGGAATATTTTTGTTTGTTTTCTCCTTTTTCAAATTTATTTCTCTTTTTAAGCATACCACGAAGGGTGTTTTTAAAAAAAACACTCATTCAGGCCAACTCGGTATATTGTGTTTATCACAATGAGACCAAGAAACCAGTTCCAGAATGGAGGGCTTCCGAAGCTAACCTAGTTGACTCATGGGATGAAATGGGCCGAGTTGACTCATGGGATGAAATGAGCCGAGTTGACTCATTGGATGAAATGAGCCGAGTTGACTCATGGGATGAAATGAGCCGAGTTGACTCATGGGATGAAATGAGCCGAGTTGACGCATGGGATGAAATGAGCCGAGTTGACTCATGGGATGAAATGAGCCGAGTTGACTCATGGGATGAAATGAGCCGAGTTGACTCATGGGATGAAATGAGCCGAGTTGACTCATGGGATGAAATGAGCCGAGTTGACTCATGGGATGAAATGAGCCGAGTTGACTCATGGGATGAAATGAGTCGAGTTGACGCATGGGATGAAATGAGCCGAGTTGACGCATGGGATTGAAATGAGCCGAGTTGACTCATGGGATGAAATGAGCCGAGTTGACTCATGGGATGAAATGAGCCGAGTTGACTCATGGGATGAAATGAGCCGAGTTGACTCCATTGAAATGGGATTGATGAAATGAGCCGAGTTGACTCATGGGATTGAAATGAGCCGAGTTGACTCATGGGATGAAATGAGCCGAGTTGACTCATGGGATTGAAATGAGCCGAGTTGACTCATGGGATGAAATGAGCCGAGTTGACTCATGGGATTGAAATGAGCCGAGTTGCCATGGGATGAAATGAGCCGAGTTGACTCATGGGATTGAAATGAGCCGAGTTGACTCATGGGATGAAATGAGCCGAGTTGACTCATGGGATGAAATGAGCCGAGTTGACTCATGGGATGAAATGAGCCGAGTTGACTCATGGGATTGAAATGAGCCGAGCTGACTCATGGGATTGAAATGAGCCGAGTTGACTCATGGGATGAAATGAGCCGAGTTGACTCATGGGATTGAAATGAGCCGAGTTGACTCATGGGATGAAATGAGCCGAGTTGACGCATGGATGAAATGAGCCGAGTTGACTCCATGGGATGAAATGAGCCGAGTTGACGCATGGGATGAAATGAGAGCCGAGTTGACTCATGGGATGAAATGAGCCGAGTTGACTCATGGGATGAAATGAGCCGAGTTGACTCATGGGATGAATGAGCCGAGAATGACCTGACTCCATTGACTCATGGGATGAAATGAGCCGAGTTGACCATGGGGATGAAATGAGCCGAGTTGACGCATGGGATGAAATGAGCCGAGTTGACTCATGGGATGAAATGAGCCGAGTTGACTCATGGGATGAAATGAGCCGAGTTGACTCATGGGATTGAAATGATGAAAATGAGCCGAGTTGACTCATGGATTGAAATGAGCCGAGTTGACGCATGGGATTGAAATGAGCCGAGTTGACTCATGGGATGAAATGAGCCGAGTTGACTCATGGGATTGAAATGAGCCGAGTTGACTCATGGGATGAAATGAGCCGAGTTGATTGACTCATGGGATTGAAATGAGCCGAGTTGACTCATGGGATGAAATGAGCCGAGTTGACTCATGGGATGAAATGAGCCGAGTTGACTCATGGGATTGAAATGAGCCGAGCCGAGTTGACTCATGGGGATTGAAATGAGCCGAGTTGACTCATGGGATTGAAATGAGCCGAGTTGACTCATGGGATGAAATGAGCCGAGTTGACGCATGGGATGAAATGAGCCGAGTTGACTCATGGGATGAAATGAGCCGAGCTGACTCATGGGATGAAATGAGCCGAGTTGACTCATGGGATGAAATGAGCCGAGTTGACTGCATGGGGGATTGAAATGAGCCGAGTTGACTCATGGGATTGAAATGAGCCGAGCTGACTCATGGGATTGAAATGAGCCGGAGTTGACTCATGGGATGAAATGAGCCGAGTTGACGCATGGATTGAAATGAGATGAAATGAGCCGAGTTGACTCATGGGATTGAAATGAGCCGAGTTGACTGAAATGAGCCGGGATGAAATGAGCCGAGTTGACGCATGGGATGAAATGAGCCGAGTCTGACGCATGGGATTGAAATGAGCCGAGTTGACGCATGGGATGAAATGAGCCGAGTTGACTCATGGGATGAAATGAGCCGAGTTGACGCATGGATTGAAATGAGCCGAGTTGACGCATGGGATGAGCCGAGTGGGATGAAATGAGTCGAGTTGACTCCATTCGTAACTACTAGTCCCATTCCGTAACCTGAAAGAAGACTCGTACCCCTTTCGTAGCCATTTTACTGAACTTGACTCAATGAGCGCATAAGCGCAGAGACAAAGAACTAGTCTAATCGCCGAACTACTTTCAAGGGCATGTAACACTAGTTTACTTGGTAAACAAACATGGCCCCCACACCAAGGAAATTACCTCAAAGGGTATATTTAACATGCTTAAATACTTTCCCACGCCATAATATTAATCTATCCTGGTTATGAAAAATCAGGAAACCCAGGAGGACTATGCAATAATTAAAATATACTTGAAGTGTTTTGGAACAAATTATGCAAGTCGAAATAAAAACAATTTCAACTAACTATTTTAACCCAATTTCTTCTCTACATACGCGTATTCTGATTGGCTGGGGGAATATCTCTCCTGGACATGGTTACAAGAGGGTTACGAGTCTACTTTCAGGTTACGGAAAGGGACGAGTAGTTACGAATAAGTTGACTCATGGGATTGAAATGAGCCGCGTTGACTCATGGGATTAAAATGAGCCGAGAAGGTACCCACCCCACCTCCTCCCGCCGTGATCTCGTGTTCCCACGTCTTCAGATTCAAGGTGTCGAATTCATCGTCAAAGATAAGGCACGGGTAGCTCGTGCAAACTGGCGAATCTGCAACAAATCAGCGAGCGAGAGACTATTCAACGTATTGCGTGGCAAGGAAACAGCATTTTGCGGATAATCGAAGCTATTAAAGCGCCCTTTGACAGATAACAAACAAAAGACCAGAATATAACAGTTCTTTTCACATATTGCTGAAAACAATTGCAAACGGATGCAAAAGAAAGTATATGCTTGAAAAAATGAATGACCGACTGAAACGTTAATAAAATGTTCCTAGGTTGAAAACAGTGGCCGAAACACTGCACATTTGAAGTCACAACTATGATAAATATAACTAATAAATCACCATCGAAAATGATGCAAGAACGTTTTGTTTCTTGTTGGGTTTGGTTACGTTTATACCCACCATCAAACATGGGTATATACTCTTTCATTTTCATTTACTCTGACATGCTCAATAAAGAAATCTCTCAGAGTAACACAGATTCGCCCAATGATCATTAAAATCACAAGAAACTGCAAACCACATGAGAGAGGTAAAACACTGGTTGCATCACACTATCCATAACGACAAGACGATATATGGATGGTGGCTTATTAGGGCCTCGTCTCGTGTTATCGCTTTCTCGTCTCGAGATTATCGCTTTCTCGCCTCCGAATTTTAAGTCGAGAAAGCGATGACCCTAGTCAGCCACCATATGTATGTGGAATGCAATCAGATGTACATGTGATATATTGTTTTTGTGAAGAGGAGACAATACAAGCGTCCTTACCGTCGCAGTCTTTCTGGACAGCGTTGAAGCTGACGCTGTCTATGTTGTGACCGCTAGATGGCGTTTTCTGAGTGGCAGCTTCTGTCTTTGGATGGTTGGCAGGTGCGTGAGTAACGGGTGCTTGAGTGACAGGTGCTTGAGTGACAGGTGCTTGAGTAACAGGGGCCTGTGTATTTTGACCACCTTTATGACAAAATAAGTGAGTGAATGAAAGTAATTTTGTCAGGTACTTCAAGGTCCTAAACTGGTGTCAGTTACTATAATTGTCTCACATTCATTAAGCCATAACCATGTCGAGGTACAAATATTTTTATCGTACATTACAAATCGACCTCATTACCAATTCCGTCATTTTCTGAAGGCCCAAACAATGTTTAGGTCCTCGAACATGAAAAGAAGTGCCCTCTTCAACTAATCTCTCACTTACTGTAAGTCAAAACCACATTTTCTGGGTCCTCGTACATGAAAACAATTGTCCTCTCCAACTAATCTCTCAGTTATTGTAAGCCAAACCACATTTTGTGGGTCATCGCACATGAAATCATGTGTCCTCCTCAACTACTCTCACTTACTGTAAGCCAAAACCATATTTTGTAGACCCGCGTACATGAAAACGATAGTCCTCTTCAATTAATCTCTCACTTATTGTAACCCAAAACAATATTTTGTGGGTTCTCGTACACGAAAACTATTGTCCTCTTCAACTAACCTCTCACTTACTGTAAGTCAAAGCCACATTTTGTGGGCCCTCGTACATGAAAACAATTGTCCTCTCCAACTAATCTCTCACTTATTGTAAGCCAAACCACATTTTGTGGGTCATCGTACATGAAAACATGTGTCCTCTTCAACTAATCTCACTTACTGTAAGCCAAAACCATATTTTGTAGGCCCTTGTACATGAAAACAATAGTCCTCTTCAACTAATCTCTCACTTATTGTAACCCAAAACAATATTTTGTGGGTTCTCGTACATGAAAACAATTGTCCTCTTCAACTAACCTCTCACTTACTGTAAGCCAAAACAATATTTTGTGGGTTCTCGTACATGAAAACAATTGTCCTCTTCAACTAACCTCTCTTATTGTAAGCCCAATCTATATTTTGTAAGCCCTCGTATATGAAAACAATTGTCCTCTTGAACCAATATATACTTACTGTAAGCCCAATCTGTGCATAAAAACAATAGTCCCCGTCCACCATTCTCTCTCTTACTGTACCCCCATCTCACATTTTGTGGGTACTCGTACATAAAAACAATAGTCCTAGTAAACCATTCTCTCTCTTTCTGTACCCCCATACCACATTTTGTGGGTACTCGTACATAAAAACAATAGTCCCCGTCCACCATTCTCTCTCTTACCATACCACATTTTGTGGGTACTCGTACATAAAACAATAGTCCTTACTGTCCACCATTCTCTCTCTTACTGTACTCCCATACCCCACATTTTTTTGTACATAAAACAATAGGGTACCCCATACCACATTTTGTGGGTACATAAAACAATAGTCCCCGTCCACCATTCTCTCTCTTACTGTACCCCCATACCACATTTTGTGGGTACTCGTACATTATAAAAACAATAGTGTACTGTACCCCCATCTCTCTTACTGTACCCCATACCATATTTTGTGGGTACTCGTACATAAAAACAATAGTCCCCGTCCACCATTCTCTCTCTTACTGTACCCCCATACCATATTTTGTGGGTACTCGTACATAAAAACAATAGTCCCCGTCCACCATTCTCTCTCTTACTGTACCCCCATACCATATTTTGTGGGTACTCGTACATAAAAACAATAGTCCCCGTCCACCATTCTCTCTCTTACTGTACCCCCATCTCACATTTTGTGGGTACTCGTACATAAAAACAATAGTCCTAGTAAACCATTCTCTCTCTTTCTGTACCCCCATACCACATTTTGTGGGTACTCGTACATAAAAACAATAGTCCCCGTCCACCATTCTCTCTCTTACTGTACCCCCATACCACATTTTATGGGTACTCGTACATAAAAACAATAGTCCTAGTAAACCATTCTCTCTCTTACTGTACCCCAATACCATATTTTGTGGGTACTCGGACATGAAAACAATAGTCCCCGTCCACCATTCTCTTTCTTACTGTACCCCCATACCATTTTGTGGGTACTCGTACATGAAAACAATAGTCCCCGTCCGCCATTCTCTCTCTTACTGTACCCCCATACCATATTTTGTGGGTACTCGTACATAAAAACAATAGTTCATTCTCTCTCTAACACCATTCTCCCACTTACTATAGGTCCACACTTGGTTTAGGTCCTGGGACGGCCTTCCACTTGCCAATGCATACAGCCAATAGTGTACTGTATCCCCTGGGTGTACGGTTACCCCGTTCTGCACGTATACCCAAGACGACCCTGATGAAACAGAATTGTACAGATCAGTGACAAATCTGTCTCAGTACATCCGCGATTCGAGCATTAGGAGATAAACGTGCTATTTTATAATTAGAGTAATGTTAAACCGAATTGATTTCATTTTCTAAATTTCATTTGAAAGGTTTCAAATGATTATTAGGCTACATAAAAAATATGCGTGTTTCTCATCACTATTTAAAACAATATGGGGCTGGCGGGCGGATTTTATTTTTACATTTTATTGTATTTTATGTCCCATACCCCTTGATTTCTGTGGAAATTTACACCTTTTCTGGGAAAGAAAATCACAACCAAGAAGTGTGAAAAATTCATGCGTATTTTGAGAGTCAAAGTTGCATTTTCTCTAGGGTAAACTTCTTTTTTTTAAATCTTAGGGTTGGGTCGAATTTTTGGGTCGGGCGGTAATGAGAAACAATAATATTTATATATATATGGCCTTACAGCCCGTTTAATATTTGTGGGGGCGGTGGGGTAGCCTAGTGGTTAAAGCGTTCGCTCGTCACGCCGAAGACCCGGGGTCGATTCCCTACATGGGTACAATGTGTGAAGTCCATTTCTGGTGTTCCCCGCCGTGATATTACTGGAATATTGCTAAAAGCGGCGTAAAACTAAACTCACTCACTCACTCACTAATACCGCAGTTTCAGGAGCATGGGCTTCATCATTAATATTTTGAATTGGGTCAGACATATGTTATGTTTGGGATAACACGTTCTCAGTAAAGTACAGATTCTAGTACTTTTGTTAGGTTGTGTCCTATCCGAGATTCGAACCCACACTTCCAGAGTCAGGCACCTAATCGAGAGCACATGGCTAAGACTTTGTGTTACATTTGAACACTTTCTAAAAAGCTTTGTGTATACATTGTTTGGTTCTTTTAAAAAATCAATTTGGGAGACTAATGTTGGTCTTCTGAGCTGGATACATATGGCTAAACTGAGTATGGTATCTGTTTGGCAGTGAACTAAGTGTTTCCAGCTTGACCATGATATACAAAGGAGACATAGCGAATCTCCAGTTGGTGTCTGTGTTGGCCTTTCATAATTGATTGACAGACGTTATATATCTGATCTGTTTCTATATCAGGTATACGATGAAAGTTTACAACAGTTTAAGCAGTGTTCATGTATTCGTGTATCAAACAACATAGGGGGAGAAATTATATTAAACATCCAGTCATTCATCTTATGATTTAAATGAGTGTGACATGTAAATTTATGTGACCAAGAAAATTATAAAGTCTGTTTTTCATGGAAATATCACATTTCACTGTCATTAAGTCAAAATAAGTGTTTTCACTGTCTGTGAAAACATATATGTATGTATGTATATAAGGTTTTAGGGCGACCTTGGGCCTTAAAAGGCCTATATGCGCCCAACACTTAACAAACTGTTATATTTTTGTTCAGTTAAATAACATCGTACTTACCCGTTTTAACGAGGAAGTCTAAAAGAGCTCTTTGTATGCAACCATACATTAAATTATCGCCAAGTATTGCGTTCATTGAAAACGTATTTTGGGCTTTGTTAAGCACAGTTTCTTTAAGAGCCTTACGTGGGTTTTCATGAGCTGGACATTCAATGAGGTAGTGCTGAACTGTTTCTGGGCACTGTAAGTTACAGCTTTCACACAGAGGAGATAAGTCTTTATCTAAAATACTTCTATATGCCTTTAATCCACAATGTCCCAGCCTGAGACGAGTTAAAACAACTTCATCTCTGCGACAACGCCGACGAATTTTAAAATGTTTGGTTACTACAGGACAAGTAGAGTGCATGTGTCTACCTGTAGTTTCATTATCCCATTTATTTTGCCAAGATGCATTTATTGAAGATGAAATGACAAACCAGTAATCTCTTGGAATGGGCTTAATTGAATGAATATCTGGCTGTGGTCTGTTGCAAGCCATCTTAGCAATTGTGTCAACTACTTCGTTTCCAGCTACACCAACATGTGCAGGAATCCAAACAATGTCACAGCTGATGTACATGGAGTTTAAAACAGTATCAAGATACAAGATGTCGTATAGTATGTCACTGCGTGGACCTTGTACACCTGATTGAATTGCTTGTACAGCTGACAACGAATCAGTAAAAATTATTGCTTCGTGTTCATTATCTTTTACCCATTTTAAAGCTTGAAGTATGGATGTCAGTTCTGCTGCAAATACAGACAGATGATCAGTCAATCTAAATCTTTTGGATAAACCAAGATCGGGAATATAGAAAGCCCCACCAACATGACCGGTTCTGGGATCCTTTGAAGCATCAGTGTAAATATGAGTAAAATTGCTATATTTGGTGTGAATGTAATCTTGGGTGAGGATTTTAATAACACTTGGTGACATTTGTTTGTTTACAAGCTCCGATAAATCCTGTGAAATCGAAGGTTGTGTTAAAGTCCATGGAACCGTTTTCGAGAGATCGAGCAGCATTCAACTGAAGATTGTTTAACTTGTACTGTAATGCAAATTGTTGTACAAGTAATCCAAACGGTGGTTTTCCATGATTCCAATCACACATGACATATTCCACGCAATCACACAATATATCAGTTGCTGGTTGATACCTAGAGGAAGCTTTTAAGGATAAATAGTACTTAAGGGCAACTTTAAGACGATGATATTGCAAAGGAGGTTCTGAGCATTCCACCTGCAGGGCAGAAACTGGAGTAGTAGGAAAAGCACCAGTGCATATCCGAAGAGCTTTGGCTTGAACACGATCAAGTTTAGCCAAATGACATTTTGCAGCATTCATAAAAACTTGACAGCCATATTCTAATCTAGACAAAATTAGTGCTTTGTACAACAGAAGCAAGGATGATTTATCAGCACCCCACTTTGTGGCAGACACGCTTTTCAGTAAATTGAGAGCTTTAGTACATTTTGATGAAATGTAGTTGATGTGGTTTGACCAAGTGAGTTTTGATCAAAGATTACACCCAAAAATTTAAATTCAGAAACAAATTTTATGTCCTGACCACCAATGTGTAGCTTCAGATTTGGAGGAACTTTACGTCTTGTGAAGAACATAGCAACTGATTTAGAAGTTGAAACCTTGAACCCCACTTTGAACACCAAACATCTATAGAAGTTAGAGCTAATTGATAGACTTATGAACAAACTCAATGTTTCCAAAACGCCTCCAACAAGCACCGTCATCTGCAAATTGTGATGCATCAATGTTTAAAGGAAGTTCAGAAAAGAAATCATTGATCATTATATTAAAGAGCAAAGGGCTGATAACACTGCCCTGTGGAGTGCCATTTACGATAATTCGCATGTCAGACACGTGTTGCCCAATACGAACTTGTATGGTTCGATCAGTTAGGAAGGACTTTATCCACTGTAGCATACGTCCCTTTACCCCCAAGCTTTGCAGTTTAAATAAAAGTCCATTTCTCCATAGCATATCATATGCCTTTTCAATGTCTAAAAATACACACAGCATATACTCTTGGTTTCCTAGTGCTTTTGTGCTTCATTTTGTAGTCGAACTAGATGATCTATGCAAGAACGAGTTTTCCTAAACCCACACTGTAGCCTCGTTAATAATTCATTTGATTCTAAGTAGAAATTCAAACGATTTGTGACCAACCTTTCCATGATTTTACACAGGTTAGACGTTAAGGCTATTGGTCTGTATGAAACAGGGCGAGATGGATCTTTACCAGGTTTGGGAACAGGGATAACAACAGCGTGTCTCCAGCTTTTGGGTAACTTCCCAGATATCCAGCTTTGATTTATGATATTAAGTATGACTTCTAGAGCTGAATCTGGCATATGTTTAAAGTGTTCGTAACACAATTCATCGGCACCAGGAGATGTATTCTTGCCCTTTGATAATGCCGATTTTAATTCTCCCAGGTGGAAGGATAAATCATATTCAGGAAAAGGTTGTAGTAAAGAATCTGAAATTATTGGAATAATCTCTTTCTCCAAATTTGTGATTTCGTTTTTTAAATTTTGTTGAAAAGTTTTCGTAGCTGCTAACAGCCTCAAACTGATCTGCTAAAAGATTTGCTTTCTCTTCACAGGAAATAGCGCTTTGATCCAAAACAGGAATAGGGGATCTATTACGGTTCCCACTAATCCTTTTACCTTGGCCCAAATTGAAGATAAGGAAGTATGCCTGTTTATTGTAGATATGTAAGAACGCCAACTGCTGCGTTTTAATGATCGTACAAGACGTTGGAATGCAGCCCGTTTTTCCGAAAGTCGTCTAAATCAACCGGTAAGGATGTCCTGCGAAGTCGGTTATAAGCCTTTGCCGAGCTTTATCGGCTTTATCACAATCCTTATTCCACCAATACTGAGAATTTCGAGTAGTTGGCTTTCCGGAAGTTTTACCAATAGCTTTTTCTGAGATTTTAGTCAGAGATAATGTTAGATTACAAGTTGAACGTTCAATGTCATCTGTAAGCAGATCACAGGTTATTTCATTTGAACAAAGTTCAACAAATTTATGCCAATTTGCAGATTTAAATCTCCATCTAGAAAGTCCATGTCGTCCACAGTTACCTCCCTTGGAAGTTGTCTCCCTTGGCTCGTCTGCTGACTACTTGTTTCTCGGTCAACCATGTGAGCAGGGGAGAGTGAGTGAGTTAAAATTTTACATCGCGTCCGCAATATTACAGCCATATAGCGATTGAGCTGGGGAAAAGTTTCCAAGGATCGGTTACCTCACGGGCGTTTGTAGACATTTAGCACGTATGACTTTATGAGCCGCTTTCTTTCACGTTTATGCTACAAAACACTGACATTTTGCTGTCTGTAGTGTCCTTGTTTGGCACTAAGCGGACCACTGCTCATCTCCGTGATTGCTGCTGTGGTGTTTCACACTTTACTCGATGGGATATACATTGTATTTGGTAAACGGCATTTTATAATTGCTATTTTAGTCTCAGTTTGTAAACAGCAATAACCTGTCTAGTGGGCCTGCAGTGCTAACCAGCTATTCTGGCAGTCTTTTCAATGTGACGTCACAAATGATGACGTCCCGATGGTCTGAAACGTTTTGTTATGAAATTTCTGTATGGTTATAAAACAGTCGGACTGAGTGAATGGATTATTATGGTAAGAGCGTCCGCCCGGGTAACGGAAGGTCGCGGGTTCGATCCCCGACCGCGTCATACCAAAAGACGTTAAAATATGGTACTTGTTGGTCCCTGCCTGGCGCTCGGCATTAATGGGTACAACAAGGACTGGTCGGCTCGGAGTCAGTATAATGTGTCTGAGTGGGGCATTCATGCTTCACTGCGGCATGGTATCTCAGTGGGCTAGCACTATAAAACCAGCTTCAGTCTGGGCTAGTACAAGCAGCCGCACATACACATACACACGCATGCACGTCGTCATATGAGTGAAATATTCTCAAGCACGACGTTAAACCCAATTTCACCTCACCTTCAGTCTGTATTCAGGTAATATTATAGAAATGAATGAAGACGAGGATGTGGGCCCGTGCTGGTGTATTCAGTAGGACTGCACGACATTACCGGTATATCGGTATATGGCAATACGTTTTTCAAACGATACTGCAATAGTTTTTCTGAGAACCGGAATATTGGTTAAGGAACATGTATGAAGTTTTTTTCTGATTATCTTTATGGTTTAAATCAATATCTACACAGACTTTCGTTCATAACAAATATTTTCCTTCGTTATTCAATGACAAAACGGCATACTGTAGTGTACTACTATAAATTGTATAAAAGGGGAAATAGAATCCCTGACTATGCACCCTGATTTTGAGATTACTGTTATCAGAACCATAACATATATGTTTAGGGACATATAATGTAGAAATTAGGATTGACATGCACAATTAGTGTCACTCAGTGTCAGCTCCCAACATATCGCAAAACGAATCGCAATACGGGTACCTGAACCGCAATATATTGCAACACAATTTATTTGCCAATACACAGCCCGACTATTCAGGGTTACAATTAGATGTGTGTCATAGAGGCGACGAAAGGCAGATCAGACTTACGGCGTGTCATCGTACCCCGTTGTTCACAATATCAGTCACCAGTTTGTCTGGTCCAGACTCGTAGTAAAGTTCAAACTGCTGAATACAACGTGAAACAAACAAACAAACAAACATGTGCGTGTCCATACGTACTAACCTTGCTTGTTTGGAATGTCAACGTTGTAGTGGCCGGCTTGTACGCCGGGGAGATCTGCATTGACGCTGAAGTGAACGGCCACCAGGTCATAGCCAGCGTCTGTTGCCATGGAAACATTTACATTATTGCGTTTTATTACCTACGAGGGCGAAAATATCGGGGTTCATATTTTTCATACGATGCACTAGGGCAAAATATCGTTGACGTGACGTTATGAACAATGCAATGGCGTCACGTTTCTTCTGTGACGTTGCGTTCTACATGCGGCGACGAACGGTAGCCAGATAAACTCTGTCAAAAAGAAACGCAACCCTGTATTTTAGAGATTTTGATCTGAAGTTTTAGGACGACACGGCATTTTTATTATTTAAGACAGAAGTCTGAAATTTGGCAGAATAATAACCCAGATGGGCATGTTTAAAATTGTCATTTCAAAAGTCATCTCACAGACACCAGTTTGTCACCAGGGGGCGTCTTTCTCAGTATCTCGTATGAGCACCACGCGCTGCAATCACTGCACGGCATCTCCTTGACAAGAACGGATAAGACGCCGGATTCTTTCCTGGGGAATGGCTCTCCACTCTCCTGCAGTGCAACGGCGAGCTGTTGCAGCGTCTGTGGCGGCGGCTGACGTTGACGTACGCGTCGATCCAGAGTATCCCACAGGTGTTCAATAGGGTTGAGGTCTGGTGATTTAGAGGGTCATGGCAAGACATTGACGTTGGAATTCTGCAGAAAGTTCATTGTTGCACGTGCAGTATGAGGCCGGGCGTTGTCCCGTTGAAAATCTGTGTCTGTTGGTCAATAATCGGGAGAAGGTGAAGCTCTAACACGTGGTTGATGTAACGTTGGGCTGTCAGGTTCCCTGGAACGATCACCAAGTCTGATTTCTGGTTGTATGAGATGGTTCCCCAAACCATGACGCTTTCTCCGCCAAATCTGTCCACCTGTCGGACGCAGATGGGCGCAAAACGTTTATGACGTCTCCTATACAGACGCTGTCTTCCGTCGTGACGTTGCAAAAGAAAACGTGATTCATCAGAAAACCAGATTCGCCTCCAGTTTTGTAAAGTCCGTATCCTTACGTTGTTGCACCACCTGAGTCGTCGGCGTCGATGTAGGGGGCGTAGTACAGGTCCAACAACTGGTCTACAGGCACGTAAACCCGCTTCTTTCAGACGGTTCCTAATCGTTTGAGCTGACACTCTCCTCAAACCTGGTATTTGTGTGGCAGTCACGGTTGGTAGGGCATGCCGATTACGCAGGTGATGGACCCGGATGTACCGATCTTGAAGGGGGGTCGTGATTCTTGGCCTTCCACTTCTCGGGCGATCGTTGGTCAAATTGAAGTTGTTGTAGCGGCTCCAAAGTCGGGATATCGTTGTTTTGTGAACATTTAGGTGCCGTGCAACAGTTCCAAAACTTTCTCCGGCTTGAACACGACCAATGGCGATATTTCGGTCGGCAGCACTCAATCGTGGCATTTTTAACACAGCTTTTCGGCGACAAATGAATGAATATAATACGGAAGCACATGGGCTTTATACACCCCTACATTAACTGCCATTTTCATGATTTGCATGTGTTTTTTTGTGCGAAGTCACCATGAGGGTCATTTCATGCGTTGTGACGGAATAAGCAATAAAATACACTTATGCGTACAAATGCAGTTGTTTGATGGTAATCTTCATTAATTACGTGTATCATTTCAATACATTCGAATAAAATTTAGTTTGAAGCAATAACTTCATTCAAACGAATTTTTCATATCTGAGGACAGGGGTTGCGTTTCTTTTGACAGAGTTTATTATAATACACTTGACAATTACAAACCACAAACTAGTATAATGTATCACCATCGAATAGCCGACAACGGTCGCCGAAAAACTGCAAACTTCAGGTCCAAAACACAACTAGTATACGGGTATAAATATATCACCACCGACTAACCATTTCACAGGACCACACCCCACCAGGATTACCAGATGGCCGGAATAAAATACTCACCTGGTATTTCCCATCTTAGTCCCGACGGGGAGAGTGGGGTAATGATGGGAGTCGGGATAGCCCACGCCAGGGGCAGTACAAGAAGTGCCCAGTACATTGTCCAGCTGAGGGTACAAGAAGTGAGTGAGTATAGTTTTACGCCGCTTTTAGTAATATTCCAGCAATATCACGGCGGGGACATCAGAAATGGGGAATCGAACCCAGCGTGGCGAGCTATCCTTCCGCCTCGAGAGAATGAATGAATGAATGAATGAATGAATGAATGAATGAATGAGGCTGGTGAGTCACGTCACCCAGAATGGCCAGACATCAGAAAGAGACGTCATCATCTACAACAGCGTCGTGTCCGCCAGCAGGAACACAGCAGTGACGAGACTGCGTGCTGTCGGTATCCGGGCCAATCGCTCATTTTGGGCGTGTCATAAACCCGTCAACTTCACACGAATCGTCTACGTTAGGCGAGGAATTAGAGCCGCTGGCCACGTTTTATTTGGGAACAGTGCTGTTTGGCAACACCTACACTTCTCAAAATATTTACCTTGTGTGTTTGAAAATAATCCCAATGCAACAGGAGTGTGTACTTTAAATTGTTAGTTTGTTGTTTAACGCTGCTCACAGCAATATCCCAGCTTTATAGCGGCTATCTGTAAGTAATCGAGTCTGGACCAGACAATCCAGTGATCAACAGCATGAGCATCGATGAGCAGCGTTGAAGACCAATTCTAACCCGGATCTTCACGGGTTGCACTGATATAGCGACGTGGATGTACATCACAGTACATGGGATATAATACATAGTTGAACATGGATGCACCACTCTGACACAGTATACTGACTCCATGCCAACCAGTCCGTGTTTTACCCCTAAATGCCGAGCACAAGGCTGAGCAACAACAAATACCATACCCTAACGCCATCTAAAAAGATGCGTTCTCGGGATCCAAACCCCGACCTTCCGGTCTCCGAGCAAATGCTCTATCCACTACAACATGGAGGCTGGCCCCGATACAGTTGACACAGCTCAAATGTTGCCGATATTAGTTATAAAACTATCTTCCTGTCGAAGAAGGAAGGCATACCACATTTTAAAGTAATCTCCTTTATCTTTTCATATACTCAACAAAAAAAGTTAAGGGCCACCCCAATATTCAATATTTAAGTATTATATGGATCATAATATTTAAGAAATACAGTTCGCTCTACCACCATGTACAGTGTAATAAAACACACTTTCGCCCTGGGCCCCGTTCCTCAAAGCGATCGTAGCGCTACGACTGTCGTAAGTCTATGTTAAAGTATGGGAGTTAAGATCACTTAGAGCTACGGTCGCTTTGAGGAACGGGGCCCTGAACCATTATAGTTAAAGCACGAGGATGCTTGGTTCAGGGCGAAAGTGTGCTTTATTACACTGTACATGGTGGTAGAGCGAACTGTATTTCTTTTCTAAGATGCCAAATTTACTACTTTCTAAGGATAATTACGATTAATCTAAGGCAGAAAACAATCGACGATGTCGGTGACCTAAATTAAGAATCCTCGCACAGGGCGAACTGGCGCGCTGTTCTATTGATGTGTCTGCCCCCCTACGTTAAGACGAACGTTACCAGAAAACAAACAAATGATAAACAGTTTGATGACGGATTAAATATCTTCTCTAAATTATTTTAATTGCATCTGTGATTAACGTAAACCATATGGGGCAATATGAACGTAGCATTTCTACTACCAACGTTAGTTTAGATCAGTACATCCAGATGAAGCTGGGTAGTCAAGCGACATTCCACGATTGCATTGTGGGAATGTAAACATTGCGAACGTTACCGTGTCGCTGAAAACTTGTGAGTCGAATTGACACATTTTAACCGTCGGAAAGCATAAACGTAATGTTTCCACCAGTGATGTTAGCTGCGTGAAGCAACTTCAAACCAAGAAACGGGATGCAACGGAATAGTTTACTGTAGGAAGCTGTACGAGGCGATGACAACTGACATGCATCGTGACGTCGCTTACATTTTGACGTAATGCAAAATTGTTCCATTACGAGGGGGCAGACTAGAATGGCGCAGTGACGCCAATACATTGTGACATAATGCAAATGCACATTATCGTCTGATAAAGTAGATCTTTCACCGAACCATCTTAGAAAAACTATTAGATGCTAAAATATTGATAATTGGGGTGGTCTTTGACTTTTTGGGTTGAGTATATATTCGAAAGTATCGGAATCAGGGCGCAATTATTTCTTACTTAAAATTTCTTCTTACAAAAACTGCGGAGAAAACGACGGAAGTTTAACAAAGCTCTAAAATGGGTACATTAAATATAATGAGTATTTTTAAATCAAAACCATGAATACCTTTTAGTATTTATTTACGGTTTACAATTTATATCAGAATCCTCCTGAAAACCATGTGTTAAATAAGTTTAGATAATATATATACTGCCGTACACACGAGACACCCGTGAAGATTCGGGTTAGAATTGATCTTCAGCAACCCATGCTTGTCGTAAGAGGCTCGCGGACTTGGTTGACACATTTCATCGTATCCCCCGGGTTAGAATATTGATCTTCAGTAACCCATGCTTGTCGTAAGAGGCGACAAACGGGATCGGGTGGTCAGGCTCGCTGACTTGGCTGACACATGTCATCGGTTACCAATTGCGCAGATCGATGCTCATGCTGTTGATCATTGGATTGTCTGGTCCAGACTCGATTATTACAGACCGCCGCCATATAGCTAAAATATTGCTGAGTGTGGCGTAAAACTAAACTCACTCACTCATCGTGTCCCAATTGCGTAGATCGATGCTCATACAGTTGATCACTGGATTGTCTGGTTACAGATCGACGCTATATGGCTGGAATATTGCTGAGTGCGGTGTTAACAAACTAAACTCACTAACTCTTACCTCATGTACGACCTCTTCGACTGTAGCTACCAGTCTGACTATCAGTTTCCTTGAGTTGGTCTCTAGTAACCTTGGCGCATTTACAGCGGCCATTTTGAAATCCTCTGGAGACTGGAGCAGAAGATATGAACTCGTACGACAATGAACCATTCTCGGAGGCGTTGAATAGACTTTGGTATATCGTCCATCGCATGATCGCGTATGTTGCATAAGGGGTTCAACTGTACTGCATCTGTACAGTGTACACGAACCCAGCTGTAGCAATGCTTGAGGTCACGTGGTCAGAGACAGGATTGTCTGCGTTATTAGTGAGTGAGTATGGTTTTACGCCGCTTTTAGCAATATTCCAGCAATATCACGGCGGGGAACACCAGAAATCTTCACACATTGTACCCATGTGGGGAATCGAACCCGGGTCCTCAACGTGACAAGCAGACGCTTTTATCCATTAGGCTACCCCCACCACCCCATGTGTGTTATTGTACGGTCTCTTGTTAAAGATACTTATTTCCTATCTCTCCATTCCTCCTGTACAATAAACTTCCGTATTAACGAACTCAAAGGGACGACACGGTTTACTTCGTTATATCTGGAGTCCGTATAAAGCATTTGGCACAAGTTAACTTACCAACGTGTTTTTCTTTAAGCTAACCAACTTAATTTACAATTATTTATCACTTCAAAGAACAATAAATACAAAAGATAATCCCTGACTCTCGCAAATTAAATACATATGAGACAATAGAGGACTCTCGTATGTTTTTTGAAAATTCCTGAATTTGTACAACCCAGGGGCTGGTCTCAAAAGTTAAAGATCAATTTATCCAAAACTGGCAAAATGACATTATTTCCAGTGCCAAGGGAATTTATTACCAACACCTGAAGCCATTTCCTCATTTTGATGCATATCTCCTTCCAAAACGTATTTCTTTACCGTTATTGAGATTTAGAACATGTAACCATAGTTTACCTATTGAGACGAATAATATTCCTAGGGACGAGAAAACGTGTCAGTTGTGCACTTTTAAATGCATCGCATATGAATATCATTATATATTTCATTGCAAAGCACTAGATAAACTGACGAGCAAAAGAAAGTACACATGTGTAATTGTTGTTGCAATCCCAAATATGCGTTCTAACTAATAAAATTATTGAAAAACATTGATTGTATAGAACGCAACCATCATGTTTCATTTGCCAAAATGCAACCAAAAACATTTGTACGTGTTTTGCACGAATTTTTGCAAAATTGTGATTATTGTCCCATGCACCAGCACTTTTCTGACAGAGAGTATAAAACCTGTTTGTCGTGAAGACTGAACAATCACTTGACAGAAATCTCACAAGGAAATGCCAAGATTGACGTCGGCGCAACGAGAACGGGCCAAAGGAATGACACAAATGGGTGCTTTCAACAGCGATATTGCAAGGACATTGGGTTGCACAAGACAAACCATAATTCGGCTGTTTAACCGTTTCAGTACGACAGGCCAGACATGTGATCGACCCAGAAGTGGACGTTCCAGAGTCACAACACCCCAAGAGGATCGCTATCTGCGGGTTATTCACCTACGCAACTGGATGTTGACGGTGACGTCATCAGCAGCCACATCATTGGGTCATCGCGTAAGCCGATTCACAGTGACAAGACGACTTCGTCCTGCTGGCATGTATGGGCCTACCGACCGCTGCGTGGAATGGCCTTGACCTTCCAGCATCGTAGGAAGCGTCTGCAGTGGTCATCACTACATCGCTGTTTATTGTTACAATGTCATTTTGCTGATAAAACACGTGTATTGCAGTGTGCTTCAACATACATTTTCCATTTCATCAAAAGGTTTTGTTATTTTTATCTTATTGGAAGAAACACAACCTGTGTACTTTCTTTTGCACATCAGTTTACTTAAGGAAACAATATTTACGCATTCATCTAACGCCTTTTCCTTATAAAACAGAGTTTACGAAAATATTATCTGCAAAAAAAAATCTCGAGACATAGTAAATTTATCAAAATATGTTATGCATCTATCATCTCTTGTCAAAAAATGTTAATATGTTGTTTGTTGTTTGTCTGCCATCTTGAATTTGTATTTGTTTATACGTGTATGATGTACGCTCTTGTACCACCAAGGTGGTTTATGCGAATAAACCAAACAGTTGAAATAAAGAATTGAATAAAATGGAATTATTGTGCAAGAAATAAGCCAATACGGATAAATTAAGACTGTTCCATTATCAATGTTGGTAAGCGCTTGGTCCACCCCTACTCTACTGTTTAACTAGTGGGGTGCCTGAATTTTGGAATATCTGACCATTAAGGTATCATCCTCTCGTGATACTTCGGGTCCCAAGGGGCGTGGAAAAACAGGTCACGTGGTAGATTAGGATAACTTTGCAACGTAATGATGACATGGGAAAAGTTAATAAATAATCTCTTTGTACATGTCATTTTTTTAAATTAAAAGTATACCACGTCTGCTATTGTGTAGGTTCCAACACTTGTTGAGATGCATGGGATCTGATAGCAGATTATTTTTATAATGCACATTTTGCCTGTGGCACCAACAAGCCAAGGACAAGGATGCAATCACTTTCATCGCAATAACATATGGCAGTTATTGGAACTGCGGTGAATATCAAAGAATTATCAAATGTCCAATCTTCCTCCCTTATCAGTATAAAACATCACCAACTAACTCATAAACACAGTTTTCAATTAATTTATCTTGGATAAAAATAACGTATACAAAATAATATTGCACTGGCCAAGCATTATTCTCGTGACAGCACGTCGAAAAGAGCGTACGCGGTATATGGACGTGAGCTCTCGTGTTGTAAAACATGTAAGTATAGACGGACACCTTGTCATCAATTTGAATATTTACAAAATATCTTGTACTGTTATTTCTGGAATGTTGCTAAAATAATGGTGATATAAACAACGGCAAAACATATTCACTCCCTGTATATGATATGATTTCGTCTTTAGATATGTGTTTTGTCATGATCTCAGTTTATCAACCGATAAGTCACAACCGACAAGAATTTCTTTCGTTAACTGAACAATCAAGTGATGTGGAATATATTGCTAATTTGGAATGCCTAAATTCATTCAATTTCAAACTAACGTATACCTTGCCAAAACAATTATATGTTATTCCCTGGATCTTTGTCATTGTTTCTGTTTTTAGGTTACAGTTGGCAATATCTTAGCTTTATATAGACTACTAAATTTAATGCATAACATCTTTCATTCTACTTCGATTAATGCTTTGCGCACATGTTTTCATTAAAACCGATTCGAATATTACGAAACTATAAAATCTGTCAAAGCTGTCAAATAAATACGTAGTGAAATAATCAGTGAAATATTCACATAGGTCAATATTAGAGAAAATCCCGTCTCGATTTCCTATAATCAGACTCGATTTCCAAAGGAAACAGTTTCCAACGGGCGTAAAATACAAAACAGCGGTGTAAATTATACTCGTGAGTGACTGAGTTTAGCAATATTTCTGCATTATTAAAATTACTCCTAGGCCAAATGTAGAGATAACATCATTATCAGGTAGTATGATACACCAGGCCTTATCACCCATACTGCATATCCTGATCATGTTGAACATCAGTGCTTGTCACCCTCCATTAAACCATGCGGTTAATACTCATGCAGTTGGTCTATGAACATGTGGACACTGTTTCAACAGCAGGGTAAACCTTGTGTGTTTAAGGAAACCTGATACATTCTGTGTCTAGTTCCACATTGACAAGAATCTCTGGAGGGTGGGAGTTGTCATACCAATTACTGGATAACGTTTTTACTGCTGCTGAGAGATCCTAAAAGATAGGGACTTTTCTAACATTTGGCCTAGGACTATTATGACATATGTCAACCAAGTCCATGTGACCACCCGATCCCGTTAGTGGCTTCTTGCTTCAAGCGTTGCTTACTGAAGATCAATTTTAACCCGGGTCTTCACGAGTGTCTTCAAAATGAAATCATGTTTATTGAAAAGTGTATAGTACAACCCAACAGGTTTCTTTGCACTTCATGTGCTTCATATTTGTTAGAAGGGTCTCTGCGGACAATAACACAAAACACGTACTTAACACATCGTTGAACAAAATCTGTGCATGTACCATCCTGTAAAGAGATTTCTGCTCCGTCTCCTGATTGGTTTGGTTTCATGTCACGTGCCGTAAGTACCGCAGCGCAAACTGTACACGTGGCGTGAGGTAACTACGTGACAAGACATGCCTACCAATCCCTCGAAAACCTGTCTGTTTGATAGAATAAACCCAAAAAACACGCTGTCAATATATATTCAGACCAGGGTCCCGTTTTATTACACGCTGTCAATATATATTCAGACCTGGACTGTAGTTAAAAATGTGAGTGTGATAAAGGGCGTCTGGATTTAGGCACACCATTTTAGTGTCTCAGTGGCTGTGACACCCTCAATAGCCTGTTGACTCAAGAAAAAAGTAAAACGCTCAGTGACACATTCAAACATGTTGGGAGCAAATGAAAGGACTACATGGTTTTTTCGTGTCGCACAATGATGCATTGAAAATAGGGTAACTTTCTAAACTAGTCACGTATCCAGTCTGACCATAGAAATCTCAGAAGGGACGCTTTATTAACATTTTAGAAGACGCAATTTGATGAATTTAGACAATTTTATGGATTTCATCTTCCTTTTATTCTAAAATTAAAAAACAAGAGATAAATAAATAAATCAATGAATAAATAAATATGAATAAAAAGAAGATGAAATCCAAAAAATTCTCTCGTGATAGGACCGCCTCCGTGATGTATTGGGTAGAGCGTCCGCCCGGAGACGCGGAAGGTCGCGGGTTCGATCCCCGGCTGCGTCATACCAAAAGACGTTAAAATATAGTACTTGTTGGTCCCTGCCTGGCGCTCGGCATTAATGGGTACAACAAGGACTGGTCGGTTCGGAGTCAGTATAATGTGTCTGAGTGGGGTATTCATGCTTAACTGTGGCATGGTATCTCAGTTAGCTAGCACTATAAAACCAGCTTCAGTCTTGGCGATACAAGCAGCCACACATACACATACCCACGCATGCACGTCGTCATATGAGCGAAATATTGTTAAGTACGACGTTAAACCCCATTTCACCTATAGTTTGAAAGAAAAGATAGAATGAAGAATAAAGTGTTATGTTTTGATGTCGTTCACATTCCAATTTAAGCAATGCATTTCTAATAGCTCTAAGCATATAGATAGTTAATATTGATAATTTTATGTGAAATGAGTGTTTCATGTTACACTATAAGTCGTTGGAATTAGTCAGTGCTGTCATTGTTAAATGAAGTTATATTTCTTTGAGCATATCTGGCTGGATACTATTATTATCTGTAAATATAATAACATAACAGAATTAAACTTCATCAAGTTCACTCCATTCTTCCACAGAGGAGTCATCAGTGTCCAGACGAATGAGCCGTCTTTGAGCCAGTACTCTTTCTCCACCTTCTTGACATGTTCAACACATGCATGCAGCGTGCAATGTCAATGTCACATATAGCAGTGTTGACAATGTGCTTGACATCATTCAACTTGAATGATTGATTTTTCCGGGCCACTGTACTTTTAAGGTCTCCCCAGATAAGTTCGATTGGGTTGAGATCACAGTGGTACGGTGGTATTCTCAAGACCTTATGGCCGTGTTGGCGTAGCATGTTGTCAATGTTATATGTGGGTGGAGGTTTGTTAGGTTTAATCAAAGAGTACAACTGTGGTTTAGTGGCCTTAATTGAAAATTGTATATTGTTATTTGTTAGCCATTGCTGCATATCTGACTTCTTTGTATTGGAAGTTGGGCACCTATTGTTTGGATCTCGAACACTGTGATAGGGAGCATTGTCCATGACAACAAGACTTTTGTAAGGCAGAGCTGGCAACAACTGTTCCTCAACATACTGTGTGAAAACCGTTGAGTTCATTTCTGTATGATAGTCCCTACCATCTGTGCTCTTTGACCGAAATACAAGATCACACCCAGGTAGGAATCCACGGTGGGAACCAGCATGAAGAACGATTAAACGTTCACCTTTGCCTGTTGGTATTTTCCTACCATCACTGGGATCAGTGGGTAGCCACTGTCTGGCAGCAGTATGGTTTGCATTGACCCAGGTCTCATCCAGATATATGGGTTTGAACCCATCCTCTCTTGCCTGCTTAATTTCTATCAGATAGTTACACCTTATTTTCACAAGTTTCTGGTTTGCAACCTTCTTGTACTTGTATCCAAATTTGAGCAGTAGTTTGCTTAGCATAAACCTAGAAACGTTAATGTCATGATCCTCTGCAAGGATGTGTTTTAACTTTCTTGTGGACAGGTGTTCATTTCTAGCAAATATCCGGCGAATGACATCTCTGATGACCCTGATGTCAAAAGAATCTAACTTTGGATGCCTACCTTTTTGTACAAGGTTTTGTTTATTGGTTGTTGGTTTATTTTTCACAATTTTTCGCACGATGTTCTTTTTCATGCCAAGAGCAAAATTTGTACGTTTCATGTAATCCGACACCTTATCAATCGGTTTGCTACGTTTGCTCTCTTTTTTTTAAAAAATCAACACATTTCTAATTAAACGTTTAGCATCATCTGAATAAGCTTTCATGATGACAGCTAGAAGTAGTCAATGTGAATGATCCAAACGGTCTATCACTGTTTAACTATCATGAACTGCACGTTTATTTACCTTTATGAGAGGAGCGAGTGAGTTTAGTTTTACGCCGCTTTTAGCAATACTCCAACAATATCACGACGGGTTATAGTTTGGCATGAAATGCATGTGGACCCGGTGTTTTGTAAATATCTCTTCATCCAATGATCCAATCGATCTCAAACTGTGCAAGTGGATGTGTTGTCAGACAACCTAATCACATTGTAAATCACCGATTTTATGCATTTGTATTAAAGAATCTGTCTATGTAACTGTCAACAAAATAAACAGCAGAACGCAGACTGCTTGCAGAGGGAGGGAGCCAATGACCTGTAACAGCGGAAGTTTTACATCCTATGGAACATAAGTCTTCCTTAACAGAGAGTCCAGGAATAGAAAGGTTTCCGGGCAACTAAGGTTTCCGACTAACGGGATTATACTGAAATTTACTTAAATATCTTGCAAGTAATTTGTAAACATTAACCGCTGTGAAAATATTCAAAAATCCTTTAAGCCAAAGTGTGTATACAAAATATCCCTATAAAGTTTCCAGGTACACAGAGCTGCTTTCCTTAACGTCCGCTTGAGGTTCAGACAGAATTCAAAATGAATGTAACTTTGCGTGGTTAGCGTCACGTATGAATTGCACACGCGCAGTGACGGCGTTGAGGTGATGACATATTCTCGGGAAAGGCATGTAAGTCCTCACGAATAAAATTAGACATGACACGATACACGCTCGAACTTTTTATACACGTCAAGCACAACGGTCACAGTGACATTAGAATATACCGGCATTGATACTGAACGTTTTAGCCTTGAACCTACCCGTGAAGATCCGGTTTAGAATGGGTATGCAGCAAACCACGCGTGTAAGAGGCAACTAACTGGATCAGGTGATCAGACTCGGTGTCTTGTTTGACACATGTCATCGCATCCCATATGCGAAGATCGATGCTCATGCTGTTGATCACTGCCGAGCTAACCAACGACGTTTTCGCAACGTTGTGGGAATCTTGTAGATTGGCAACGCCATGACACAATATTAGTATTCCGTCATTTTATAACGTTATGTCACAACGTAATTACAACGTTGCAAGAAAACGTTGAGGAAACGTTATGTTTTTGGCTCCTCACACCGTTACAATGTTAAAACGTTTCACTTTGAGATTCTTTCTTCACTATTCAGCTACAGCGTCAGAAAACACACGATCAAAACAACATGCGAATTGACTAATAAACATAGAAATGAATTTTTGCTTTGTTTCTTATGTACTGTTCACTACTGGAAAAATATTCAACAATTAACGGTTAATAGCAACACAAAAACGACATATCACAACGTCAGGCCACAACGTTGTGACAACGTAAACAGGAGTCCACAGAATAACGTTGTGACATCGAAAGCATAACGTTGTGACAACGTGAAATTGTTAGCTGGGTGGACAATGGCGCACTCACTCTCACTCTCACGCTCACTGTCACTCACTCAATCACAAACTCTCACGCTCACTCTCACACTCACTCGCTCAATCACTCGTTCACTCACCCGACCACCCACTCACTCACTAACTCACTAACTCGTACCCATTCGGCAGAATAGCACAATGACATCACCGAATAACTGTGAGGGATTCACGTATCGATTGAATTATGTATGAATCATGTGTGGTTGTTGAAGGCTTTGTTTTCCTGATATATATCAACTTTAGGTAGTTTATTGTATTTTAAGTATTGCCCAAATTTAAATGTCTTGGTAAACGACCACCCGCTACGTCAAGAATTGACTTCAGCGTCTGTCATTATCTTAACAATGATTGATTGATTTAGTTTAGTTTTATGCCGCTCTCAGCAACATTACAGCTTATTACTCCTAGGCCAAATGTAGAGATAACATCATTATCAGGTAGTATGATACACCAGGCCTTATCACCCATACTGCATATCCTGATCATGTTGAACACCACTGCTTGTCCCCGTCCATTAAACCATGTGGTTAATACTCATGCAGTTGGTCTATGAACATGTGGACACTGTTTCAACAGCAGGGTAAACCTTGTGTGTTTTAGTAACCTGATACATTCTGTGTCTAGTTCCACATTGACAAGAATCTCTGGAGGGTGGGAGTTGTCATACCAATTACTGGATAACGCCTTTACTGCTGCTGAGAGATCCTAAAAAATAGGGACTTTTCTAACATTTGGCCTAGGACTTAAATGAGGGACACAACAAATGGGCTTCAAACATTGTACCTATGTACCTTCGGCGTAACGAGCTAACGCTTAAACCACTAGGCTACCCCCACCACCCCAAATTATACGAATGGGCGACAGAAATCAGTTACGACATCAGGTGTTTGCGAGTCTTGCCCTTCCCGTAACCACCCGCCAGACAAACTGAATACATAGAAAGTATGTCCTGTCGTAATTTTCTAAACGGAGGTGGGTGAGAAAATTCAATATTATGAATGAGTGAGTGAGAGTGGTTGTACGCCGCTTGTAGCAATATTCCAGCAATATCACGGCGGGGGACACCAGAAACGGGCTTCACACATTGTACCCATGTGGAGAATCGAAGACGGGCCTTCGGCGTGACGAGCGAACGCTTGAACCACTAGGCTACCCCACCCCCCAAATTCCTGGAAAAATGAAAATGGTAAAGAACATGTATGTATTTTGGCGTTAATCGATGGATGAACTTATCTTTCAGTCTTCACTTTTGCAGATGAAGCTGCTACAATGACTGCATCAGCCGTGATCCTCTCTGTGCTGGTAACGTCGTGGTGCACGGAGGCAGGAAAGGTCCTGTACCTCACCTTCCCACAATACAGTCATCTGAAAACAATGAACTTCGCCATGGACGACCTCAGCCGATACGGACACGAACTGTGGACTGCCTACCCTGACTACCTATCGTCCACAGTCATGAACTCAAGTCTCAATTTGATCAGAATGAAAGGACTAGGATCAATGGATGTGAACGACGAATTGTATTCCGCTTTCGTCAGCGCTCATGACCCAGGATTGACTTTTTCAAAGTTTACTGTAAAAGTGATAAACTGGAAAAACACTTTAAAAAGAATTATTGATAAAAGGACCATTCCTATTTCCACCCTTTCAAAAGTACGAGAGATTAACCATAAGATTCTGACAGATTCCGACATGCTTCAAGAGATCAAGGAGAAGAGGTTTGATCTGGTCATTGCAAATGGCGATATTGGTCTTCCATATATTATCATTCCATACATACTGGATCTACCTTTTTGCATACTTGGAAATTCGTACGACCCTTGGCGAAGTGGAAATCCAAGTCTTCCTTCCTACCTACCTTATCTTGCTCATGGTGACATTGGAACGGATAGCATGACCTTTTTGCAGAGAGTAAAGAACACATTGGCTTACCTGATGAAGCTTGACTTGCCTCCATTCATCCATGAAAGCGACGTGATGACCTATGCCCCGGACAATACTCCTATCACCTTTACACAGCTCATGACCAATGCTAAGCTATGGATGGTTGAACAGGACTCTGTTGCGGACTATCCAAGACCATTGATGCCAAACACGATTCTAGTAGGAGGTCTTTCTGCACGAGATTCTAGTATGCTTTCTGGAAGATTCAAAGACTTTTATGACATATCAGATTCCGTGGTAATAGTTTCTTTCGGAGGCAGTGTAACAACAATCTCCACGGAATTGACAGATAAGCTACAACAGGCATTTTCTATGACCAATTATAATTTTGTATGGAAATCTGATAAACCTTCGTGGAACCAGACCAAGTGCCTTCTGACGAAATGGTTACCCCAGAATGACCTTCTTGGCAATTCCAAAACTAAACTGTTTATCACCCACGGAGGAAATAATGGTTATTTTGAAAGCTTGTATCACGGTGTACCAATGCTAGGAGTTCCAATGTTCGCTGATCAGTATTATAACACTCAAAGATTACAACACAAGGGATATGGCCTAGCTTTAGATCTGTACAGAAATTCGGCAGAAGACTTTGCAGATGCCATCACCCAAATCGTAGAGAATCCGGTGTTTAAAAAGAATGTGTTGAGAGCTTCTAAACTTTTGAGAGATAGGCCTATGAATTCTCGACAACAAATTGCGTATTGGATCGATCACGTGATCAAATATGGCGACTCACATATTCGCTCTGCTGGCCTTGACCTTCCGTGGTACAAATACCTCTGTGTGGATGTGTTTTTGGTTTTGATATTCATTCTGGTAACTGCTTCTCTCGTTTTATGTAAACTGACACAAACATTGATTGCACGAGTACTGTAAATCAGCCGTGATTTCTGTACATTTAAAGTTTTACAAAATTCAATGTTTACAAAACAATAATTCGCAAAATGTAACAAATCAAATATATAAATGAAATAGAAAAAGAAGCACCATTATCAAATTGTAACAACTACGTATCGCAAAAAGTTCATGTCTGGATTCGAACACGTATCGACTATCGCATGTAGAATAAATTAGGCTCGCACATTATGCCAGACTGAATTGCCCCCCTTCTTCACATCCGATGTTTGCCCGCCGACAAGTGGGTGTACCTTCAGGTAGCCTGGTAGGGTCCAGAGTGCACCAGCGACCATCACGCACCCTCAGATAGTCTCCATCAAAGTAGATATAGCCCTACAGGTATGTGGCATTTCAAAGTGTTGATTTTAAGGCTATATCTTAATCATACGATGCATAGATATATACTCGCACTTTTGCAATGAATGACAGTTTCGACATTGCTAACTAATTCACCATTATTGATTTTGTCAACATAACATACACACACGCACACGCACGCACCACACACTCTCCCACGCACGCACATGCATGCATACATACAAACATACATACATACATACAATTTCTCGGTTACGATTTTTCTGGAAAAAAAAAATCTTCGTTGGTGTTCTCTCTACTATTCATACTACCATAGTTTGAAAACATTAATAACTAATTAAAACATAGAAATATTTTTGACAAAATATGACAATCAATCCTTTAACATGTTTCTGGTTATTGAGAAAAAATATTTAACAACATTCATGAAACCTCACTCACTATTTCACAAGCACCGTCTGGGGATGTTATTGAACATCAATCTTATATGTAACATTAGTAACTTTTCTATGAAAGACTTTAATGTATGTCTTTAAGACCAAATTTATAAATGCAGAAGACCGAGGAATATACAATTGCGAACTGGAACTGTGATCAGGTATTTTATGCAATTTAGCTGATATCACAATGCGGGCGTCATGAGATCACAATGAGGGCCCCAGTCCTGGTCAGCTGGGATATCGAAGTATTCATCACTCATGTCGTTAAGCCTTAATCAACACAGCTGACCTGAATATACAACACCCAGGGTAGAAAGGTCACTGATACCCTGCAATCGTACCAAGCTATGTAGATTCGTAAATCGTAATGTTATCTTTGGAGTACAGACGCGATAGTTGTTCTATTACGCAGCACGGTACGGGCCATCTTCACAAACCGAGTTTATGTTAGGGCCTCTGGTTTAGTGTGAGTGAGCAAGTTTTTTCGCCACTTTTAGCAATATTCCAGAAATATCACAGCGGGGAATACAAGATATGAGCATGTACCCTTGTGGGAAATCGAACCCGGGTCGTCGGCGTGACACCCCTTATCTGGCTTAGAAGACCATGCTTGTCGTAACAGGTGACTGCTGGCTTAGAAGACCATGCTTGTCGTGACAGGTGACTCCTGGCTTAGAAGACCATGCTTGCCGTGACAGGTGACTCCTGACTTAGAAGAACATGCTTGCCGTGACAGGTGACTGCTGGCTTAGAAGACCATGCTTGTCGTGACAGGTGACTGCTGGCTTAGAAGATCATGTTTGTCGTGACAGGTGACTCCTGACTTAGAAGACCATGCTTGCCGTGACAGGTGACTCCTGGTTTTGAAGACCATGCTTGTTGTGACAGGTGACTGCTGGCTTAGAAGATCATGTTTGTCGTGACAGGTGACTCCTGACTTAGAAGACCATGCTTGCCGTGACAGGTGACTCCTGGTTTTGAAGACCATGCTTGTCGTGACAGGTGACTGCTGGCTTAGAAGACCATGCTTGTCGTGACAGTTGACTCCGAGATTGAGTGGTCATTCTTGCTGTGGTTGCGTAGACCGCTTTTTTAATGCCAGTCACTGGATTGTCTGGACCAGATTCGATTGTATAAACACAGCCGTAATTCGACAGGAATGTCGCTGTAAATATTTTTAAAAAAACACTGGAAACTACTTCTTTCACAGCATCTCTAAAGCTGTCAAATATGAAAATAAGAACATATGGTGTATTTGGGATAACACTTTCTCTGTAAAGTACAGATTCTTTTGACTTTTTATTATTTTAATTTTTTTTAGATAGGATTGGATGCGAGTGGTATGGATTCGAATCCTGAATGGGCTTCAGTCCAAAACTTAACAATAAATAAAAAAATAAGCAAAACAAACAAATCATAATAAGGTACTGGTATTTATCTGAAAAAGTGTATTCATATGTTGCATTTGACCGCTTTTGTCCATTTGACAAAACGCCGTTAACAGCTGACCATACCACCTCATATGGTAAGTACAATTCTCAATGCTTGTTACCGATATAAGCCTGCACTCCTGTTAAATTATTCCCTGTAACAGCTGGTATGACAGCATATTCCGCGTATCGTGCGATGTATAGACAAAGGAATGTTGAATATTAGTACGATGGCTTTACCAATATGGTTCAAGATAAGGAACTCAATAAACATGAATCCTCAAGCGTAATGCTGATGTTTTTCGCGCTTACCTTTGAAATACACGTGTGAGATTATGGTCCGCTTTGTATAGCAGGCTGGTTATTACATCGCGCAGCTGAATGTGTGAGAGTGATCAGTGAGTGAGTGAGTGAGTATGGTTTTACGCCGCTTTTAGCAATATTCCACCAATATCACGGCGGGGGACACCAGAAATGGGCTTCAGACATAATGTGTGAGAGAGAAAAATCAGTTTACCCCACTTTCAATAGTATTTCATTTTTTTTCACACCATGCCAGCTTGATATCTGAGGGCCTGGAAAATGAACTCACTAACATAAGATTCTAGCACAAACCAAGTGACGGAACATTTAAATGTAATTGCCATCTTGCCCCGAAGCGGCAGCGTGTGTAAATGAAGTTTGTGCTGTCTTTATTTTTTTCATTCGAAACTGCATGTTTGCATTCGTTTTCAAGACACAAAACTCGGAGTCACTGCTCCAAATGCTATGCTCGCTCGTACCGATAATCTCCTACGGAGGATTTGGTGGGCGGGGGGCATCGTATTGGATATACAGATTTGGTTTTCACGTCATTGTGACCTTAAACAAAATTCACGTATACACCGAAAAGTTCTGCAACTGAGGAACAATCACTTTCAATCATGTTCTGTATTCCAGACGTATCCAATATGGCAACCTCGTTCCCCGTGTTGCACACCAAGGGGGGCTACTTTGACGTCGGCTACAGCATCGGCAGCACCTTCCAGTCCCGCATACAGACTTACTTAGAATCGTCCGCTCTCTTCAAGGAGACGCTGCTTCCGTTTTACGACACTCGCGAAGGACGAGATTTGGTGGAGACCATCATGACCCTGACGGAGAAGAACTTCCCCATGTACATCGACGAAGTCCAGGGGACTGCTCAGGGGGCCGGGCTGCCGTATGAGATGTTGTTCGTTAACAACATGCTGATGGAGATCTACTTTGGCTACTCGAAAAACACGCCCCGACTTACACGTGAGGATCTCGGATGCAGCACCGTCTATATCAACCGCCCGGATGTTAAGGTCATAGGTCATAACGAAGACTGTGAAGATCTGATTAAGCACCTCGGCTATGTCGTCGATGCCACTATAATCGAAAACGACGTCGTTGAAGAGAAGTTTACAAGCCTTTGCTACCCAGGGGGACTTCCGGGTGCGTCATTAGGTTTTAATTACCACGGGTTAACATTTTCGATCAACACCGTAGTAGCACCAACGGTTGGAGTGACAACACCGACCAATTATTTGACGAGGGCAATGCTGAGAGCTTCTAACATTGACGAAGTAAAGGACATTATTACCAACGCAGGGAATGGAATATCGACCGGCTGTAACATCAATGTCGGGTCTGTTGTGGACACGTCAACTCAGTGGTCAGTTGAAGTCGTACCCAGAGTGTCCGAATCCAAACTGTCCGTACAAGAAATCCACGAATCTGATGACCCCGAGAAGTCTACATATTTTCACATGAATGAGTATCGTCATATGAACATCAAGGTCGAAACAGCTGCAAGATCGAAAGCGAGGCTTGATAGAGCAATGTCACTTCCGGTGCCAACTTGCGCAAGGGACGCTAGGAATATTCTAGGTGATGTCAAAAATCTGATGCATCCCATTTTCCGAACTGTTCGCCCGACAGATGGCGCCGCCACAGCGTGCACGGGAATATTTGATCTCCTGAACAAAAGACTTGATATATACTTCGACAACCCATCTATGGACATAGAACCTTTGTTAACGTTCAATATGGAAAGCTCATCTCGACGTTAAATTACCGGGAATCATACTCACTTATCATCCTGTATCTTAGTGTTGGAACAAATAAATAATTATATTAAAACCGTACATAATATACACTACTGGAGGTTTATCACTGCTGTATAAGTGATGCATCACACTGTCTACATCTGTTGAAATAGCCAAAGACGATATTGTGAACATCTGTTTGTTTAGCTTAAGTCCGCCATATGTCACTCAATGCCAAGAAAACATGTGACGAATTATCATTCAGATTACTCGTAAAAAAGAGGGAATGTGACCATTTCTGAAACGCAAATAATGACGAAAACTTTCTGACTGTTATAAATACATCTCACATTGTGCGTTTGTGTTTCGCTTGATGCGATCACAGTCAGGTACCGTCGTTCCACGCTCCCAGTCAGGAAAACTGTTCCATTCTTCAGTAAGATCATTGCCGACTTCCTGTAGATGTCCGGAAGTACAGGACGTCGTGAGATGGCGATCTGCAGCTCGTTCCATACGCCCGATTGTGTCTTGATCTAGATCGGCTATTTCATCCTGAGAAGAGTCTCCTGCTCTGAGAAGACATCCATAACTCCCACTCTGAAGATAGCACGTCATCGTCCATGCCCAAACGTGGCCCGCTGTACCACTTGCAGAAAACATCTCAAAAAATGATTGAGCCCCCGCCATGCGTCCGCAAAGATCCAAGAAAGAGCATTGTCGCGTTCTCATGCGATCAAGTGACAAACAAAAGCTTCTAGATCCGACAGTGGAATGTAGATTGTGTCGGTGTGCGGAGGTTTGGCTATTGCACACACTCCAAAGAGCGGCAAATCCTGCTCGTGCTTGTCCATTCGGATTAAATTCCAGAATGCTATAAACTTTTAGTATCACACAGTTAATATGTTGACAAAGACCATACACCTGTTAAAGAATATCGAACTGACCTATGGACAAACACATAATGTGCTTGTTTGTTTGCATATAAATGCTATACTGGTGTCACAGTAAGGTGTTTGACGTCGTTAGCCTTTTTGTCAGCCTTGACCTAGACTAGTAGGCTGATAGATGCGTTAATCTTCGGTAAAGGTAAATACCTATGACGGAAAACCTAACCAACTTCAACAACTTAGAAGGGAAAGTATCAAACATACATTCATTAGAATTTAGATGTCAGCATTTGTTGGATTCGAACCCACAGTAACCTTAATTCACCCAATCCTTTCAGAATTACGTCCTTTACGCAATAGCTTCAGTTCATGGGTTTTTCGGTTTCATATATATGTCACAATAGCAAGATCTTTGACAATGTCATTTTTCTTTGTCAGCCCAAACTAGTAGGCAGACAGGTGTGGAATTTAATCATAGGTAAACTCTTTTGAAGGAAAGCCTAAACAACTTCAAAAGTCTAGACTAGAATACAATGAAACATGCATTAATGTGAATTTGGCTTTTGAATTTCACAGTTTGTTGGATTCGAACCCGCAGTTTCCATACTTTACGCCTGTCACCCAATTCTTTCAGAGTTACCTCCCTTAATCAATTCACCGTGGAAGCGCATACATAGTCGGCCATAGTTCGTCAGCAGCTATTGCCCTGTAACACCTGGGCCGGCTTCAATACCACCTTGTTAGACAAACATACCGGTAGGTGTCGCTTAGTTTTCAATGTTCACATCTTACGGAGTGTTCATGCACATATTGGTCAGGCTCGCTGACTTGGTTGACATATGTCATCAGTTCCCAATTGCGCAGATCGATGCTCATGCTGTTGATCACTGGATTGTCTGGACCAGACTCGATTATTTACAGACCGCCGCCATATAGCTGGAACATCTGAGTGCGGCGTAAAACTAAACTCACTCACTCACTCATGCACATATATCAACTGCTTGTACAGATGACCCAATTGTGAGTCCGGTGTAGCAGTTGTTACTGACAACACATGAGACCAGGTTTTAGACAAGTGTTTAGTGTTTAGTCCAGTGTTTAGAAGTCTGCCCGTGAGACCCGTGTTGACACATTGGCTTGCAAAAAGTCATGAGAGGTTAAGACAAGATCTCACGGTAGACCCAATCTCATGGAATCACGTATAGATGATCCGTGAAGATCCGGGTTAGGATTGGTGTTGAGTAACCCATGCTTGTCGTAAGAGGCGACTAACGGGATCGGATGGTCAGGCTCGCTGACTTGGTCGACACATGTCATCGTATCCAAATTGAGTCGATCGATGTTCATGTTGTTGATCACTGGATTGTCTGGTCCAGACTCGATTATTTACAGACCGCCGCCATATAGCTGGAATATTGCTGGGTGCGGGGTAAAACTAAACTCACTCACATGAGTACGTCATCAAACCGATGCTGACGCCAGCACTCGTGAAACCCACATTCAGACAAGATGTCGAGGTGACTTTTGTGTTAGGAGAAAGGGTCATGCGATCCTTTCTTAGACAAGTGATCATGAAGACTGTTGTTTAGACACGAGGTCACGGAGAAACCAACATACGTGCTTCATATAGGACACTCCTATACGGAATAGCGAGCATACACTAGCTATATCCATGTGAAGATTCAGGTTATTCTCAGGATGAAGTCACGATTCTCAGGATGAAGTCACGATTCACCAATGCATCCCCAGGAAGCTGTGCACGATACGATACACGACATAATTGTTTTAATATCGATTCATATTTTAATATATATCGATTATTAGGTTGATGTTGCACCGATATCTCTTGTGAAACACTTTTGTTAAACACAAACAGGACATTATTAAATGTGAACTGAACACATTTTTCTCTTGTTATTTAGTTAAACAGAACATCAGTGAGTGAGTGAGTTTATTTTACGCCACTTTTAGCAATAGTTCAGCAATACCACGGCGGGGAACACCAGAAATGGGCTTCGCACATCGGACCCATATGGGGAATCGAACTCGGGTCTTCAGTGTGACGAGCGAACGCTTTAACCACTGGGCTACCCAACCGCCCATACAGAACATCAGATATGACTAGACTTTGTGAGTGTGATGGTTGGATGCTTGTCTTCCCATCTCTAGTACTATGTATATGTACCAAAGTGTTTGGTCAATGTGAGCTGGGGTAAGAACTTGCTATCCAGGCAGTGGCTGCTTATTACGCTCCAAATAACGGGGGCCGGTGGAGTGGCCTAGTGGTGATTGTTGGAATGTTGCTAAAAGCGGCGTAAAAATCACTCACTCCAAATATCGGAAATATCGCGATACGTATCATATCGTGACCTCAGTATCGAGATGGCATCGTGAGGCAACTGTATCGTGACATCCCTAGTTGACGTTTGTTTGTGTGGTACATCCTCGAATATGTGACGTTGTATGTAGCATATGTCAACATGAAGGACATCTTAATGAGTGCCAAAAAGAAACTAATAAAATGATACAATAAATAAGTATAATCCCCCCAAAAAAAAACAAAACAAAAACTTCGTGGTATACTTGAAATACTGGTGAATGAGTTATGTTGTATTACTCACTAACCCAACTTTACCTTCAAATAATACAAATACAAATAATCCCATTTAAATTGAAAAGTAGCCCCACTGGGATGTGAGATTCAGAATCGGAGGAAATCTAGAATTGCTTCATTTTGGCTTTAGCGTTGCAGGGAGGGCTAGGCAGTAGGGAAAATAATGTGGTTTAGGGACTGTGAGACAGGCTAGGTTGCTGCTTGACCTGTGGTGTTAGTGTTCAAGTACGGCGAATAGGCAGAGCATTGCCTGATAACCTAAATACACCGTAGAGGCGAGACACTAGAGCAGCCAGATATATTTATCCGTGGAATGTTGTAGGCTGCGTCACAGTTCTTTTTTTCAGAAGCCAGTTGAAGAATGTACCAATCACAATTATCTGAATGATTGGTTTACTGTGTTCGATATTCAACCTCTTTTATGAAATTCCAAAATCCACATTTAAAACGCTCTTGTGTGCCCTTTTGCTCGTGTAATCTAACCTACTTTGGACGCAAGATTTTGCACACGTAGTCTCGCGGGGCCAATACAGAAGGATAACTTGTCTCATAGTGAGTGAGTATGGTTTTACGCCGCTTTTAGCAATATTCAAGCAATGTCACGTTTTACCGAGAGCAAAAATATCTTCTTGCTCATGTTTCTAGCAATTAAGCCTATTCAACGATTTATTGCTGTATGTTCTACATTGCAGAATTCACAAAACGTAGGGTGAAAATGACAACGACATTAAAGGTGAACGTTATATTGCCGTTGCTACTTACTGTAGGTAATATGGTAAAACTGAAGAGACATTTGCTTCCATGTAATTTCAATCACTGTGGTATTGTTAAACAGCATTAACAATATTTTCTTCATCGACAGAATTCTATTTTTCAGATATATTCAACATGGCTACCTCTTTCCCTGTTGTACACCAGGGGGGAGCCACTTCGACGTCGGCTACAGCATCGGCAGCACATTCCAGTCCCGCATACAAACATACATTCAGAAGTCATTTCTACTTCAGGACACGCTGCTACCCTTTTACGACTCTCGCAAAGGACGAGATTTCGTGGAGGCCATGTTAAGCAGGACGGAGAAGAACTTTCCAAAGTACCTCGACGAAGTCCGTGGAAATGCTCAAGGCGCCGGCTTGCCGTTTGAGACGCTGTTCGTTAATGATTTACTCATGGAGATCTACTTTTACTTCAGTCAGAAACCACCACAAGCCACAAAAGAGGATCTCGGATGCAGCACCGTTTACATCAACCGCCCGGATGTTAAGGTCATAGGTCATAACGAAGACGGCGAAGATCTTGCAAGGACGCTTGGCTACGTCATCGATGCCACCATAACCGGAGGCGACGGCGTTGAAGAGAAGTTCACGAGCCTTTGCTACCCCGGGGGACTTCCGGGTGTATCGATGGGTTATAACCACCACGGAATGATATTCTCGGTCAATGGTCTGGCAGGTCCTACGATTGACAAGGCAGCGCCAGCAGACTTTGTGCTTAGAGAAGTGTTGAGAGCTTCTAACATTGACGAAGTGAAGAACATTGTGTCAAATGCAGGCTTTGGCGTATCGTCAGGATTTAACATCAATGTCGGCTCCATAGTGGACACGTCGACTCAGTGGTCAGTTGAAGTAGCGCCGGATGTATCCGAATCCAAAGTGTCCATTAAAGAAATCCACGAATCTGACGACCCCGAGAAATCTACGTATTATCACATGAATGAGTATCGTCACTTGGACATCGAGGTTGAAACAGCTGCAAGATCGAAAGGGAGGCTTGAAAGGGCATTGTCACTTCCGGTTCCGACATGCGCAAAGGACGCTAGGAATATACTAGGTGATACTGATGATACGACATTTCCGATCTATCGAAGTGTTCGCCCATCAGATGAATATGCCACAGTTTGCACCGGAATGTTTGATTTGCTGAACAAACGATTTGATATTTACTTCGATAATCCATCCGGCGACACAGGACCGCTATTACCATTCAGTATCCAATGCGAAGCATGAATGCCACTTGATGTCAAGTATCTCAATCAGGCACCGAGTTGGTGCTCCTTCCTTAACGAGTGTTACGAGATGGGCAGTGAAGTTCAAGAGGGGGAGAGAGTCTCGGAGAGAATCAAGGATCAGTACGCACTTCAACTGCCACCACAAAAGAACAGGTTGCCAAACAATAACGATTCACGGTCTGTCTCGTAGCCAAGATCTCACAAGATATAGTATGACCAGAAATTATTGAGAATTTTAGGAATATGTTTAATTGGATTTCTAGTATAAACAACCTTGACCAGCTACTAAGTGCTTGGTTTCATTCAAGAGAGATAACTCCGTTAATCCTTTTTCATTAGTTTGTGAAGAGTTATCACCCTTTGTTTACTTGCTAGCAGACGACATTTTCAGTGATCCTCAGTATGGATGATTTAGAGAAGAGGAAGTTGATTTTAGAGTATTATGACAAGGACATCAGATCAGCTAAAGTGATTTCAAGTAGAACAAGCATCCCTTTGTCCACTGTCTTGAAAAATATAGCAAATGGATACGGCATTAAGCACCAGGGAGGCGCAGGTAGGCCCAGAAAATTGACTGTCGGTGACAGGAGGCGGCTTGGTATTCTTGCTTCTAAAAACAAACGAAGGAGTTTAAAAAACTTAAGGCTGGATATGATTGATAGAGGAACTGTGGCTGTCTGTAAGGAGACAATTAGAACTGAGCAGCATGCAATGGGTTGGCAGAAAAGTCGAGGAATTCCATCACCGATCATGAAACCTGAACAAAAGGAGCGAAGGTTGAACTGGTGCTTACAGCATAGAAATTTTAACTGGGACAATGTGATTTTCTCAGATGAAAGTTCTGTGTGGCTGTTTCCTAATACACTGAAATTCTGGACCAAACAAACTGAAAAAACCTTTGTATCAGCGCCCAAAGTACAGTCCGAAATTTAACGTGTTGGGTTGCATATCTGTGTTAGGGGCAACGCCCCTCTGTGTATTTGAAGGGAATATGAACAGTGAGCTGCACACAGATATTCTCGAGGTACATTTACTTCCATCTGCTCACGTGTTCTATGGAAATGTTTGGATTTTCCAGCAGGACAACGACCAAAAACATCGTTCAAAGCATTCACAGGCCTGGTTTCGGACCCAAAATATGACATTATTAGATTGGCCAAGCTATAGCCCTGACCTAAATCCAATAGAAAATGTTATAGGGACTTATGAAGGAAAGTGTCAATAAGAAATATTGCTGAAATGAGAAAGAGGTGGTCCGATATTGGGACAGCATGGACCACGACTTTCTAACTTCTTTGATCAGTAGTATGCCCCACCGCATTGAAGCCATGGTGACTTGACAAAATACTGACTGTTCACCTGTCTTGAATCTGGAGTTATGTTCTGCTAATATTCACATTTAATACGTGAGTAATGAGTGAAAAAAACTAAAAAAATAACATTCTATAAATTCTCAATAATTTCTGGGTGTACTGTAGAACTGGAAACAGTGTGACAATAACTTCTTTGAGTGGCATGTTAGAAGCTGGAAAGTGCAATAGAGACAAACTTAAAGGATAACAACTTTTGTACGTGAATGCGACGTTTCCATACAGATTCTTGTACCGTTGTCAAGCGGGGATGTTAATATGAAGTGGAGGCGAAGTATATATACGAAGTGTAACAAAGAAAACCAGATAATTAACATAATTGGCTAGGCTGATAAAGCCAGTGAGTTGACAAAATGGGAAGGCATAGAAGCCAGAGATGTACAAATGGGGAAAAAAAGGGAGGGGGGGGGATGTAACAAGGAGATGTTTATACAGTTGAATAGGCTTGGTGGAGGAGTGCACCATAGGCGGATGGAATGAAATATCCTTGATCCCGGTTGAGGTGGGCTTCTGGCGTTTGGTGTGAATGGCTCCGGCGAGTCCTCCACCTTATGCAAATTCTGCCTGTGACATTGGATCAATGGGTTCCGATTATATCCCCACAATGGCTGATGTCCAGCTTTAAGAAGACGATTACGCAGTGTTTGAGTAGAAACATTTACACCAGTAACCTTCCTTAGGTCATTTCTGAATTTCATAACAAAATGGAAATGATTTACTGCAATCGGTAGAAACCCGTCTTTCCGCTGTGTGGCGGAACGCTGTCGACCACTGGCTTGTTGCTAGGTAGATGATCTTTACCCTGCTGTTCACACTGCGCCTGCCACATTAGCAATGTGAAGTTTCAGTTAAATACGAAAATGTAGGGTTGTCGCATTGTGTCGGTTAGCGGAGGTTTCGGCTTTTGCACTCACTGGGCTATTTCCAATGAGCGGCAAATCCTGCTCGTGTTTGCCCGCTCGGATTAAATTCCAGAATGCTTTGAACGTTTAGTATCACACAGTTAATAATTTATATTGATAAAGAATATCGTATTGACCTACGCACAAACACATAATTGCTTCATTTCTTATTTGTTTGCAATTAAATGCCATACCACAGTGTGCGAAATAGTTTCCAATTTTTTCTACTAGTAGCAAGTCGGGCTAGCTATGCCTAAACGTTACTAGCCCACGAAATAAGTCACTGGTCCGAAATCTGAATGTAGAAACTAAGCAAAAGATTACAAAAGTAGATGAGAATAAGATGTTGTCGGCATGACACAGGTTTCATCATTAAGCTGCTGATATGATGAACATTTTTATCAGGCAATAATCTTTCATGATTTAAAAGTGTGTTATAACTTAACAAGTCGGAGAGAGTGATATATTCACAAAATAATCCCATTAAAATTCGCTAGCCAGTCGGGCCAGTGACTGTGGAGATTTACTGGCCCGACTAGAAGTTTACTAGTGGCTATTTCGCATACTGCTGTTACAGTAAGATCTTTGGCTTTGTGAGTTCTTTGTCAGCCCAAACTAGTAGGCAGACAGATGTGAGCTTTAATCTTCGTTAAAAATATGTTGAAGAAAAACATAACCAACTTCAAACGTAGGCTACAGTACAATGAAAAATGCATTCATTGGAATTTGCCTATTGAATGTGTCACAAGTTGGTGGATTCCAACCCGCAGTTTCCTTACTTTACGCCTGCCACCCAATCCTTTCAGAGTTACCTCCCTTATGCAATCCCCAGTGGACGTGCATTCATAGTCGGCCATAGTTTAGCTAAGACAAATAGCGTTCACTGACATGTCAGTGAACCCAATGTATCTTAGCTACCCATAGGTCAGCGACTATATTACACTGTAACAGGCCCGCTTCAATACCACCTTGTAGCTAGTACACGCATACCGGTAGGTGTCGCTTAGTTTTCGATGTTCACAACTTACAGAGAGTTCATGCACATATATCAACTGCTTGTACAGATAATCTATAAAGCAACATTTTCATGATCAGATTGTGTGAGCAGTGCAGCAGATTATGCTGTCTAGTTGTACATGTAGGCCGACAAAAGCAGAGATAACGAATGAGGCCAGGTTTTAGACAAACGTTTGGGAGTACAGTGTTTAGACGTCTGCTCGTGAGACCCATGTAGATTACCATATATCTGGGAGCATTGGAGTAGCCCAATGGTTATTTAAAGCGTTCGCTCGTTACGCCGAACACCCAGGTTCGATTCCCCACATGGGTACATTGTGTGAAGCCCATTTCTGGTGTCCCCCACCGTGACATTGATGGAATATTCCTAAAAGCGGCGTAAAAACAACTCACTGATTCACTACAATATTTCTGTTTTGTCTTGCGGCCACGCGTTTAAACATGAACTCCCATTTCTGTCTGGAGGCCATTAGATCCGCGTTTAAACATGAACTCATCAGACCCATTTTAGATAAGAACTTAAGGGAGCTCTAGACCCTGGGATAAACAAGACCTCGTGAGACCTCTTCTTCGGCAAGAGTACATGGAACCTGTGTTTATTTTAGACATGAATGTAAAGGACCAGTACAGAGACAGGAAAGATATGAGACAAATGTTTAGACGGGACGTCAAGAGAGGTCATCACGTTGGACCCCATTTTAGAAAAAAAGATTATGGAGACCTACGTTTAGATAAGACGTCATGAGACCAAAAGCTCATGCGATCTACACTTAGACAAGAGGGCGGTGGGGTATCCTAGTGGTTAAAGCGTTGGCTCGTCACACCGAAGACCCGGGTTCGAATCCCCACATGGGTACAATGTGTGAAGCCCATTTCTGGTGTCCCCCGCTGTGATATTGCTGGAATATTGCTAAAAGCGGCGTAAAACCAAACTCAGTCAGTCAGTCTTAGGCAAGAGATCACGAAAACTGTTGTTGACATGATGTCAAGGGGAAACCAACACAAATACTTCATACAGGCCACTCCGACACGGAATAGCGAGCATACACTACTTATATCTATGTCTACCAGTGAACATCCAGGTTATCCTCAGGATTCACATTTTGACAGATATCGATAATTATGTTGATGGTGCACCGATAGCTCATATAAAACATTTTTTGGATAAATACAAACAGGACATTATCAAATGTGAACTGAACACATTTTTGTCATGTAATTTTGTTATATAAAACAACTGCAGATATGACTAGACATCGTGAGTGTGATTGATGGATGCTTGGCTGATAAGTGTTCCCATCTCTTGTGATATATCGTAAAAAAAGGTTTGGTGACTGTGAGCTGTGGTATGAACTTGCAATCCAATTAGTGGCTGTTTATTACGCGCCAAATATCGGAAATGTAGTATCGCGATACGTATCGCATCGTCACCTATGTATCGAGATACGTATCGTACCATGACCTCAGTATCGAGATACGTATCGTATCGTAAACCTAAGTATAGAGATACGCTCAGTATCGTCACCTCAGGAACGAGATACGCCTCGTATCGTCACCCCAGTATCGCGATGGGCAGCGTATCGTGATCTCAGTATCGCGATACGCTTTGCGATACGTATCGTATCGTCACCTATGTATCGAGATACGTATCGTACCATGACCTCAGTATCGAGATACGTATCGTATCGTAAACCTAAGTATAGAGATACGCTCAGTATCGTCACCTCAGGAACGAGATACTCCTCGTATCGTCACCCCAGTATCGCGATGGGCACCGCATCGTGATCTCAGTATCGCGATACGCTTCAACCAAATAAACTTCGTGGTACATTTGAAATACTGGTGAGAGTTATTTTGCATTGCTCACTTAGCCAACTTTACCTTCAGCAGGCTGCTGCTTGACCTATGGTGTTAATGTTACAGTACTACTCGTACGACAGAGTATTGCCTGATAACTTAAATACACCACAGTGGCTAGACACTAGAGCAGCCAGTTACATCCGTCTACTAATCAGTAACACAGGCATGTTGGAATGTTGTACGCTAGGTCACAGCAGTTATAATATTCTTTCTTCAGAAGCCAGTGGTAGAATGTGCTAATCACAATGTTTTGAATGATTTTTCCGATATTCAACCTGCTTTAAGAAATCCCAAAATCCATATTGAAAACGCATGAATGCATACACATGTTGTCAAAAAGAATCGCACACAGACACGCAAACAAACACAAAATGAAACAGGCACACCCTTTCGCTAGTGTGATCTAACGTTTGGGGGCGGTTGGGTTGTCTATTGGTTAAAGCGTCCGCTCGTCATGCCGATTATCCATGGTTCGACTTCCCACATGGGTACAATGTGTGAAGCCGATTTCTGGTGTCCTCGCCGTGATATTACTGGAATATCGCTAAAAACGGCGTAAAACTAAACTCAATCACTCATTCATAAGCTGACGTGCCGTGATATTACCTGGATTCTGTAAATGCCACTCACTCACTCATTAAGTCGTTTGTGTATGTTTCAAAGTGTATTAAATTGTGTTATTAATCCTACCAAGAGCTAACGTTTCTTGTCGCGCATGTTTCATATTCAACAAATCATTGATACGGCAAAAGGTAAAACGTTATATTTCCGTTGCAATTAACTGTAGGTGCAAGCGATAGGATATGTCAGTCACGGTAGAATTGTTAAACAACATTAACAATACATGTATTTTGTTCATTGACAGAATTGTGTGTTTTCCAGATATTCAACATGGCTACCTCTTTCCCCGTGTTGTACACCAGGGGGAGCCACTTCGACGTAGGCTACAGCATCGGCAGCACATTCCAGTCCCGCATACAAACATACATTCAGAAGTCATTTCTACTTCAGGACACGCTGCTACCCTTTTACGACTCTCGCGAAGGACGAGATTTCGTGGAGGCCATGTTAAGCAGGACAGAGAAGAACTTTCCAAAGTACCTCGACGAAGTCCGTGGAAATGCTCAAGGCGCCGGGTTGCCGTTTGAGACGCTGTTCGTTAATGATTTACTTACGGAGATCTACTTTGGTTTCAGTCAGAAACCACCACAAGCCACAAAAGAGGATCTCGGATGCAGCACCGTTTACATCAACCGCCCGGATGTTAAGGTCATAGGTCATAACGAAGACGGTGAAGATCTTGCAAGGATGCTTGGCTACGTCATCGATGCCACCATAACCGGAGACGACGGCGTTGAAGAGAAGTTCACGAGCCTTTGCTACCCCGGGGGACTTCCGGGTATATCGATGGGTTATAACTACCACGGAATGATATTCTCGGTCAATGGCCTGGCAGGTCCCACGATTGACAAGGCAGCGCCAGCAGAATTTGTGCTTAGAGCAGTGTTGGGAGCTTCTAACATTGACGAAGTGAAGAACATTGTGTCAAATGCAGGTTTTGGCGTATCGGTAGGATTTAACATCAATGTCGGCTCCATAGTGGACACGTCGACTCAGTGGTCAGTTGAAGTAGCGCCGGATGTATCCGAATCCAAAGTGTCCATTAAAGAAATCCACGAATCTGACGACCCCGAGAAGTCTACGTATTATCACATGAATGAGTATCGTCACTTGGACATCGAGGTTGAAACAGCTGCAAGATCAAGAGCGAGGTTTGAAAGGGCATTGTCACTTCCGGTTCCGACTTGCGCAAAGGACGCTAGGAATATACTAGGTGATACTGATAATAAGACATTTCCGATCTATCGAAGTGTTCGCCCATCAGATGAATATGCCACAGATTGCACCGGAATGTTTGATTTGCTGAACAAACGATTTGATATTTACCTCGATAATCCATCCAGCGACACAGGACCGCTATTACCATTCAATATCCAATGCAAAGCATGAATGCCACTTAGATAATGTCATACTGGTGTTTTGAACATTGCATGACATGTTTATAACTGGCATTCTAGAAACGATCAAAGGTGTGGCTTCCTTACCCAGTATTCACCGATAATTATTGTTGAATTCAAAACGATAAGACTAGTCTCCAAATTCCTTGCAGACACAGATTGCAATGGGGGTACAAGACAAAATAGTGATATCAAATATAGAAGTATATACAAGTATGGTTAGTGAAATCGGTAATGGTAAACGTGTTCAATTCTACCGGCAGATCCTGTCACGCTTTCTCTTAGAAAAATAATACGTTTAGCCCTCGTCCGGTAATATTCCTTCCACAGTCTACACCAGACAATCCAGTGATCAGTATAAGATTTATTAAGCCTCCGAGTTGCTGGAAATAGCAATGACAGGATCCGGTAATCAAAGATAATCTTCTGTGATGTGTGTTTTTGTTATTTTGCGACAATGACTTGATGAAAACTGGTTTTCGCATGAAGAGTTCCAAGTTTGAAATATTTAAACTAAACGTGTAAACACGTACCTCCCGAAAACCGAAAGGCCCAAAGCTGAACCCATGACACTAGACTTGGGTATGGTTTATGCGTTAGAAATATCTTATTTTTTCACATATAAGAGAGAAATATTCTTTGAGTTTACAACGCGCGTACGGCAAGATTTCACTTACACAACTGTACCATTTTAACGGTGCTACTGTCTGAGGTGTGTTAAGAAATGTACAGACCTTTATTGATTTGCTTTCAGAAATGATACCGTATTACCTATTACTTTGTTGCACGTATGATAAGATGGATGTATTACTTTTAATCTACTATTAAAAGCGGCATTGGCGCTACATCAATATGTAGTAAGGTACAAATCGACATTTTTCCACACTTGAAATGTCATATTTTATGCTGTTGAAACCTCTCAAATATTGGCACAAACAGAATCAAACATAATTATTGGGTGAAATCAAACATAACACACTTCGCGCATAACTTACATAACTTTTATATTGTGGCAGAACATCGAGTGATGTATATTGCACCCGTAACAGCTGGCATGTATCTAAGTGCAATAATTTCGATGGTTATTGGCTGTGTTTGAATAAAATCCTGGCAGCATGAAAGTGACTCTGTATTCTCTGTTCAGGCAAATGGACAAAATTGGTTACCGCGCTGTCATCAAGTATGTCCACCAAGCACGAAGATGGTGCTCCTTCCTCAACGAGGGTTAAGATATTGGCAGTGGAGTTCAAGAGGGGACGAGAGTCTCGGAGAGAATCCGAGATTAGGAAGCCCTTCAGGACCGTGAAGATCCTGGTTAGAATTGATCTTCAGTATCTCATGCTTGTCGTACGAGGCGACTAACGGGATCGGGTGGTCAGACTCACTGACTTGGTTGACATGTCATCGTATCCTAATTGCGTAGATTGATGCTCATGCTGTTGATCACTGGATTCTCTCGTCCAGACTCGATTATTTACAGACCGCCGCCATATAGCTGGAATATAATTCAAGGTCATAGTTTCGGGCACACGTAAGGATTCGACTAGAAAATTGCGGCACATTTGGCTATGTGAACAGCCCGTGTCCATCCTCCAGCCCCACCCTATCCACCTCCGAGGAAGAACCTTCAACGCTGTTGCATGATACACTACCCAATAGGTTGTCTATTGGACCCAGGGCCCGTTACCAAAAACCTGTGACTTAGCTATGATGACAGATCCATGACTGGATGTTAAAAATCCATGTAACATCATTACATGAGTTAAGGTTCCCTCAAAATTACCAAAATACTTCGAACATGAAAACCTGCATCTCAACTGTGATCCCCGTCACAGGTAATATACCAGGAATGAATAAAACTAACAATGATTAATAAGTGTATTGTATAAAGATTTAAACTCTAGGGAACACACGTTGTATGTACACCTTACTATTGTTAAAGCTTTCGCTTATCACGCTGAAGACCCGGGTTCCATTATCCACTCTGGTACATTGTGTGAAGCCCATTTTGGTGTCATGCATAATAGTTGACTATTGCAAGCATTGGGTACTGGGTATCAGTACTACCCGGTAGATACCCAGTGGGAAATGGGTACTGGGGATCAATTCTACCCCGATAGATACCCAGTGGGAAATGGGTACTGGGGATCAGTTCTACCCCGGTATATATCCGGTCGGAAGTGGGTACTGGGGATCAGTTCTACCCCGATAGATACCCAGTGGGAAATGGGTACTGGGGATCAGTTCTACCCCGATAGATACCCAGTGGGAAATGGGTACTGGGGATCAGTTCTACCCAGATAGATAGCCAGTGGGAAATGGGTACTGGGGATCAGTTCTACCCTGTAGATACCCAATGGGAAACGGGTACTGGGGATCAGTTCTACCCCGATAGGTACTCAGTTCGGAAATGGGTACTTGGGATCAGTTCTACCCCGATAGATACCCAGTGGGATAAGGGTACTGGGGATCAGTTCTACCCGGTAGATACCCAGTGGGAAACGGGTACTGGGAATCAGTTCTACCCCGATAGATACCCAGTGGGAGCGGGTACTGGGAATCAGTTCTACCCCGATAGATACCCAGTGGGAAATGGGTACTGGAGATCAGTTCTACCCCGGTAGATACTCACTGGGAAATACATTCCCGTGTCAACAAAACCCCAGTAGATCTACCCAGCCAAGAGATTGCCAAAGGGAAACAGCGAAATGACCAATGTTCTTTTATGTCTCATTTCAATGTGAGTGAGTTTAGTTTTACGCCGCACTCAGCAATATTCCAACTATATGGCTGCGGTCTGTGAATAATCAAGTCTCGACTAGACAATCCGGGGATCAACAGTATGAACACCGATCTACGCAATCGGGATACAGTGACATGTGTCAACCAAGCCAGCGAGCCTGACCACCCGATCCCGTTAGTCGCCTCTGAGATACTGAAGACCAATTCTAACCAGGACCTTCACGGGTAGGTATTCACAATAAAGAAGTTGACATCCATAAATCCTGCTTTTCTTAAATGGATATAGACAACACGATTTGAATATAGCAACCGTAAATTCACCGTTTTAGATTTAGGAAAATAGGACTAGAATCATTTGAGCAATCATTTGACGTAAACAATTCGGGATTTTTCGGGTTTAAATTTTATTTTTTCATCATAATGCGTCACATTGTTAACATTTCAACAAACAAGTGTTTTTCTAATGACTGGCATATGTGTTCTATCTAACACGCCATAAGAAGAATATTGACATATGGTCCACGAACTACGGCCTCATGGTGATCGTGAGCCAGATAAGTGACGACCTACAACTTGGTGTCTTGATTCCGATAGTCTGAATAAGGTAAGGGAGTCTTTTACTCTTGCACCATGGTCACACACATGGCATTTTTTCTTGAACTACCGATCCATAGATATACGCTTATTGAATTGTCATTAAACCTAGGGATCGGGATAGCGGAGTCTTAAATAATTGACTGAATATCAATTCGTAATTGGTCATTTAAACAGCAGTTTAGTCCGAGTTTTGCGTTGATGACGACAGATCACGATTCATGGGTCACCCAAACCACTGATGTTGTCCTTAAATATCCTCAATTACGATTGTCTTCAGTAAAATCTGTTTTTGGTGATCACATTGTGTAGAATAAGGCTGTACGTAAGAGGAACAAGTTCGTGTGTGTACAAGGCTTAGAAAGATAACACACTGTAGCTGGTCTTGTGAAACATCTGAGACAACTGTTTCTAATTTTATCAAATATGTCTAATTTACAAAAATATGTTTCGGTCACTAAAACGAGTTTCGGATTGTGTGTCATCATCTTATGTAACCTGTTGTCAAAGGCACTGCAACTTGCAGATTTACGTCCCTTTGACACATCAGAATCCCATGAACTAGGGTTCGAATCCAGATTATCTCTGATTATATTTCAATCTTGCCAGCACCAGAACTCCCCATATAGGTTTCAAAGTGGCTTTCCTCCGACATTAAGCTAGCGGGTCATGAATACTGTTCCAAACGGCGTATAACCCAACTCACTCACTCACCCACTTTTATGATTATTCCAGGAATATGAAGATCGTCGTTGTATCGTTGCTGCTCCTGCATACCTGCAGTCTGGCGTTTGGGTACGTGTTTCACTTACACCAGTTTTGTGAATACGAGACACATGGGAAACTATTCAATAATTAGAACAATATCCAGAGAGTGAAAATCTAACTGCATAACTACTTCATATATACTCATGCCAATAATGGTTGTCACCCCCAGTGAGTTTACTTATTTTTACCAATTAGAAAGTTTTGCAATAAACTGTATCTTTTGTACCATTTTGGAATTAAATAAGTGTGTGGTGTGGTATGGTGCGTCTTTAAATTCAGCAAAAAGCAGCTGCTTCTGGGTTCACCCATGCTATTTGGTTTCATCAACGTGTTTGAGTGAGTTCTGTTGTACGCCGTTATGTGCAATATTTCAGCTATACCACGGTCGTATATCGGGACACCCTTTCTCTTCCCACAGAGGTTACTCCTGTCATATCTTCCTACGTAACCTCTGTTCTAATACGGCCCTTTCATGGTGTGAGCGTTCAAGACTCGTGATTGGAGGCAATCAGATTTAGTTGTGCAATCAGCGAAGTTGTTTCAAAAGTGATCATTCGCAAGGCCTCGGTAATTTCCGTATGCTTCGAGAAAACTAAACTTCATCCCCTGCGTCATGTTATGGCGGATCAGTGGCGTCTCCATCGCCCTCGTTGACAACGGACAAGCTAGCCATTAAACGTCTTGTGTGTAACATCAACACAAGTCCCCAGCAGATGGGGGATATTTGTGGCCCCACATTTGCTTGTGTTAGTCAAGCTGAATCTAAGTCGATGTAACACGTGTTCTGATTGGATAGAAAGAAGGGAGATAATTCGTGTTGCGATCTTTTGCCGGGATTTTACGAGAACCCGGAAATATGGCCGTATTAGAACAGAGGTTCGTAGGAAGATATGACAAGTAACCTCTGTGGGAAGAGAATGAGGGACTCCGGAAAAGGACGTCATGGTCTAACCCGAGTCTATATACGAAGGGCAATATGGGTTTTTTTCATTTAAAGGAAAGACACACATTTGTTTGGAACACACACCACACACCATCACCACCACACAGGTAAAATCTGAGACCCCTCGACTATTTAATGGTCTCCACTTTATAACTGAAATAATGTCCATCGCTGTAACAAACTAAACTCTCACTTTCGCATCAAGTTGAAGGTGACGATGAGAAATCTGGCTGGCAGTTTTGGTGAGTTGCATTTAAAGGCATAATGTCACGCTTTTTCGACAATATTTTGGTCTATTATATAAATGCATATGTACTCACTTTAGCTTCCTACTGATCCAATAAAAGACTTATTACCCCTTACGACTTGCCTGGAATCGATAATTGAAACTTCGAGGCGAACAGCTTCCAAATACTTGCTATATATGGCATGTAAACGATTGCCCCGTACATCGAAAACTGTCGCACGCGGTGATGTCGGTGTTTGTCGAACTGACCTCAATCACAAGTTGCGTTAAAGGATATTCGTAAAGAGCGTTCCAAGGGACATAACTCTATGGGGCTCCCTTGAGTGGAGTGAGTCTAGTTTTACGCCGCACTCAGCAATATTCCAGCTATATGGCGGGGGTCTGTAAATAATCGATTCTGGACTAGACAACCCAGTGATCAACAGCATGAGCACCGATCTGCGCAATTGGGAACCGATGACATATGTCAACCAAGTCAGCGAGCCTGACCACCCGATCCCGTTAGTCGCCTCTTACGACAAGAATGGTTACTGAAGACCAATTCTAACCCGGACCTTCACGGGTGGGCTCGCTTGAAAAAAAGGTTTGGTCGGTAGAGGGCGCAAGAGTAGATTTAATGCAACGTTGCATTGATTTATTCGAACTTTCTAATGTCATATTGTAATCTTAATACGTAATTTTTTCGGAATAAATTATAAGGTAGCTTCGCTGGGGGCTGATAGTTAGTATTAATGAGAGAAATACAATATTGATTTTTAGAGAAGTGTGAGGTGATAGTGTGCCTTTACGTCAGGATACTTAATAGATGACAACTTCTCTGTTACATTGCGATGTGACATTTCGGTATAGATTCCCATTCCGGTGTCAAACAAGAGTTTAGAGTATCTTGCCTTTATTGTGCCTTTATTATTCAACAATATTGACCCGCCGTGATATTGCTGGAATAATGCTAAAAGCGGCGTAAAACCCAACTCACTCACTCACTCACTCACTCACTCACTAACAATATTGAACCACAACTTTGTTGTGCAATCAGCGCCCAAAGCTGCCACAACAACCACCATGGCTTGAGTGAACAAGATGTCATCAACCTCGTCACCAACGACCTCGACCACAACAGGGACGGCCACGTTACCATGGACGAGTTCACTAAAGAGTTTCTCACCAAGTTTGACCACGACGGTAGGTTGTCGTTTCATACAGCCACTCCATCGTTGTTCTGTATCAGGAGACTGTAAGGGGTCTAATAGCTGAAGCTTCGACTGACCGGGGCAGTGGGTTCGTTTAGTACTTAAAGCGCTACAGAAAGGTTCGATTTCCCTCACAATGTGTGAAACCCATTTCTGGTATCCTCTGCCGTGATATTTCTGGGGTGAGTGAGCGAGAAAGGTTTAGTTTTACGCTGCACTCGGCAATATTCCAAATATATGGCGACGGTCTGTAAATAATCGAGTCTGGACCAGACAATACAGTGATCGACAGCATGAGCATCGATCGACGCAATTGAGAACTGATGACATATTTCAACCAAGTGAGCGAGCCTGACCAATATGTGCATGAAGATGTGAACATTGAAAACTAAGCTACACAAACCGGTATGTTTGTCTAACAAGGTGGTATTGAAGCTGGGCTGGAACGATACACTATGTCACGATACAATACATACACCTTGAAAGAATGACACGATATCAAGATTTAAAATGATTTATTTCAAGGTATTTGTGTATAACAATAACACTATTGTAATAAACAAACAAGTAACTCCATCATACTTGCATATTTTCTCTAAATACGTTGTGTATTGTTTTGTATCGGTACACCAGTCGACGATACGATAACTTAATGTATCGTGATGTATCGATGTATCGGTGAATCGTCCCAGCCCTGCTGGGATACGATGACATGTGTCAACCAAGTCAGCGAGCCTGACCACCCGATCCGTTAGTCGCCTCTTACGACAAGCATGAGTTACTGAAGACCAATTCTAACGGGTATGATCTTCACGGGTATGATGTTTCTGGATTGTTGCTAAAGCATGCGTATAAGCTTACCAACTTACTCGAACAAGCATGTTTCGATTCCACACATAGATATAATGTGGGAAACCTCTTTATGGTGCCCCGTTGGATCTGCTGGAATATTCCGAAAAGAAGTAAAGTGTCACTTACTCACTCAAGGAAAGATTCTGTAGGACGCGAGTTAGCACTCGATCAGAAATAAGCTATGACAATTCGATGTTGGGACAAAAAGGTGTTTCGACCACAAAAGTGTTTATGACTTTCCTCAAAGACATTGATAACGTGAAAGAAACATAAGAGTAAGGCCGACTGACTGACTGAGTTTGGTTTTACGCCGCTTTTAGCAATATTCCAGCAACATCACGGCGGGGGACACCAGAAATGGGCTTCACACATTGTACTCATGTGGGGATTCGAACCCGGGTCTTCGGCGTGACGAGCCAACGCTTTAACCACTAGGCTACCCCACCGCCTCCATAAGAGTACGGAAACAGATGGTACAGTGCTAACGTCTGTCTCTGCCCCGTCATCACCTTCATTGGTATCGTGATTGTGCTTTTCGATAGGTTGTGTTGTTTTGTTTTGTTTTGTATCTTGTTTATCTTTGAGGTTTTTATATGTATTCAGAATACTTACTACAAGCTTAAAAATATATTTTTTATTCATATATTTGGTGGCACATGTACATGCTAAATTACACAATTTCTTGATACGAATTCCAAACAGACCCACGGCTTGTGTAAAAAAATGGATACTAATTACCCTGATTTCTGATAAAAAGCAGATATTTCACACTGAAGGGAAGGTTGCAGTGGGGTAACCTAGTGGTTAAAGCGTTCGCTCGTCACACCGAAGACCCGGGTTCGATTCTCTACATGGGTACAATGTGTGAAGCCCACTTCTGGTGTCCCCCGTCGTGATATTGCTGGAATATTGCGAAAAGCGGCGTAAAACTAAATTCACTCACTTACTCACTGAAGGGAGGAGGACAAACTGCGGGTAACACTTGCCTCTTGTATTTCAGGCAATGGTCAAGTGTCCGAGGCTGAGTTTGTCAAGCAATGGCATCACACATACCACGACTCTAAGGAGTTCTCAAAACGGGTGTTTGAGTTTCTCGACGCAGACAAAGACGGTCTACTCGTCACTTCCGGAATAAGGAGCGCCATGGCCGCCTTCGATTTAAACGGTAAGATCCTTCTCCATCCACAGCTTTCCGTGACACGCATCCTTGAATGGAGTTTTATAGCATTTTGCACACGTCCTACTTGTGAAATATTAAACATGTCTGATGATATTTGAATAAATAAAAGCGTTCAAAACTTACCACATTCACAAGGAATCTCTCCAATCCATTGCACAATTCAGACATTATCTTGAGCATTTGTCTATGAACCACCATCAAACAGTGATGATACGAGAGGTTGACCAAATGGTGGCGCCCTTCATAAACACATGTGCTAGTCAATTATTCACCCGAAAAAAAAGACACGGGCACATCTGGTAACAGCCAAAATAGTGAATTTCAATTGACATCATTTTGAAAGTTGAAAGAACTATTGACATATTTTATTATGTTAACTGTACCATCACTCATTCCAGCAAAAAAGTTTAGAAAGTAATCTAAGGCTGAGTAATTTTGTTTAAAATAAACTGGTTCAATAAAGACTAGGTTAAGATATGAATTAGCAACCACATTACCTCTATCATGATTAAAATGTACATTTGAGCGCATAACTCAAAATTATTGATTTCAGCAGTTGTGTATCATGTGAACCTATTTTTAAATTTAATTTATAGGCTGGGCCCGGATATCACAAATTTGAGGGGTTTTGCAATAAAAAATAGAACGTACGTTAAAATCAAATTATATATCTGGAACATACAATTTGTGTGTTAGAACAATACATCACTGCTTCCGTCTATTCAACATCCCTGAAGCTGATAGACTGACGGACGGATGCGCGAACGCACGCACACACCGCAATAATCATTAAGGCGACATTAATTCCCTTCCTTGTCAACAACTTCCTAGCCATATTTCTCCTATTGTATTATCGACGAGTGTGCCGCTTTTTGCAATATTCCATCAATACCACGATGAGGTACACAGGGATGGGCATTACATATTGTACCCATGTGGAGAATCGAACCCATACCTTCGGCGTGACGCGCAAACACTTTTAAAACATGGCTACCCCACCTCCCAACTATCGAAAAGGGAGAATACACCTTTACACGTGTTAGGTACTTCAATCTTGACTTAACTCTCAAAAAGCATCAGTGTAAATACCTCAACGTGGCGAGGTCAAAGTTGAAATATGTGAAATAGAAACAGCATTTACGTTACAGGTCACCTTGACCCGAAGAACAAACACATGTACCAAATGCCTACAGTGACCCGTATGTTATTAATTACGCAGGTGATAGTCGCTTATCGTACGGAGAGTTCAAGGCCGCTCTTCTGACGGTGAGTAATCTCAATCTGCCTCTGTTGGGTGGTGTGATATTACTGTGGGGACAGGGGAGCCCTGTCGTCTGAGGCGATGCAATGTGCTATGATGAGTTGTGTCCCTTGGATTCAGAAGCCTCTGAAACATGGTTCCCGCAGATTGTGTTTCTACAGCTTGTTCAGCTTGACCTGATCAAGTGAATACTAATGAATTGCGTGACCGTGTCACAACTGGTTGGGTCTATTATTGTGAAGGGGTGCACCTGTGTCAGATGATTGGTGTAAACTGACTGACTGACTGAGTTTGGTTTTACGCCGCTTTTAGCAATATTCCAGCAACATCACAGCGGGGGACACCAGAAATGGGCTTCACACATTGTGCCCATGTGGGGATTCGAACCCGGGTCTTCGGCGTGACGAGCCATCGCTTTAACCATTAGGCTACCCCACCGCCCCGATTGGTGTAAACGAGTGGACTTCTTGTTGTGCCCATGTTGAAAATTTGGAAAGCAACTACTGGGACAGAAATATTGCAGTTGAACATGAAATAGACAAAGTGATAATTGAACTGGGTGTAGAGAATGATAGCGAGAGTGAATCGGATTGTGAAAGTGACTGAGGTCTGTAAGTTGTAAAGTTAGCAAACCAAACTAGATAGCATATGACTGTATAAACAATTTAATTAAAACATTACATGATTGTGGGTTTTTTTCAGAAGTGTTGTTTTGCGGGACAAGTTCTGTAACGAATCTATGTATGCATGCATCGCACGAACGCAACATTGATAACATTCTCTGCACCCCTATTTAATGAAGATAACCCGATCTGCCGTTTGTGCCATTTGATCCCCCGGGTCATGCATATGTAGAGTAGCTCAGATAAAGCTGAATAAGCTGTACGTTTCTTTGCACCACACCCAAGTGGGTGCTGTGGCTTTTGTCTAAATGGTAAACGTCACTCACTCACTCATTGACCCAACCACCCACTCACACACATACTCACTCACTCAGGGGCGTAGCAAGCCATTTTTTCGTGTAAGCCCGATAGGTTGCAAAGCTTTTTGCCCAACTTTCACAGCAAAAGTCATGTGTAAGCCCGGGCTTTGTTTATAAAGTAGCTACGCCCCTGCTCACTCACTCACCCATATACTCATTCTTTCCTTCCTTTCCTTTTTAAAAAATTAAATGCAATTGAAAAGATAGAGAGATGTAACTTATAAAAATTTGTGTTCTTCTATGAAAACCCGTGACGCATACCGGTTAGAATTGTTTTTCAGCAACTCATGCTTGTCGTAAGAGGCGACTAACGGGATCGGGTGGTCAGGCTCGCTGACTTCATTGATACATATCATCGTATCCCAATTGCGTAGAACGATGCTCATGCTGTTGATCACTGGATTGTCTGGTCCGGGGTCAAGGATTTGCAGACCACCGTCATGTAGCTGAAATATTGCCGAGTGCGGCGTTAAACAACACACAAACATCTTCGATGAAACCTTGAAAAATAAATCCCACCATCTATTACTCCAAATCAATTTTCAGATTTACACGAACTGCCCTTGAAGTTGCAGACATCCCACATCACTTGGACTCCTTCAGCCGTACTAAAGTAAACTGTCTAACCGAGTCTGTGTTGTTGCAAATTACTTAACAAACAAGGGAGTGTTTAAACGTTGTTAAAAGGAAAGTCCAGAAATCGCTAGCCGATCCTGATGAATGTTGTTCTGGTTAAAATAAAATATTATTCAGCCCCAGAACATGCAACAGTGGTAGTTAAAATGCGACAGAGTCTTTTCATAACATAGACTAGTTGAGTAGGGTTTGCCGAAAACCTTGTCCTTGGTAGATGTGTTCCGGTCGTCGTTTGTCAGATGGCCTAAGTTTCACCTCAGTACTACTCTGGCTACAAGGAAGTAGAGTGAGTGAGTGAGTTTGGTTTTACGCTGCTTTTAGAAATATTCCAGCAATATCACGGCGGGGGACACCAGAAATGGGCTTCACACATTGTACCCATGTGGAGAATCGAACCCGTGTCTTTAGCGTGACGAGCGAACGCTTTAACCATTAGGCTACCCCACCGACCCTCAATGAAGTTAAGTGTGAAATAGCAATAGCCCTTGCATTAATTTTGAATATACTATTGGCTATATTGTATCATATGTCATATTTGGGCTTACACTTTCCAGCAAAGTACAGATTCTAGTACTTTTGTTGGGTTGAGTCCCATCCGGGATTCGAACCCACACCCTCAGAGTCAGGCACCTAATCGCCAGCACACAGTCAGACTAAATGTATTATCATCTAATCTTTTTGGAGTTGTTATATTCCAAACACTGAGTTTACTTTCAAAAGAAGTTTCAAACACGTCATCAAAGCCGTTACGTCATCAAAGCCGACCCGTGAAGATCCGGGGTAGAATAGGTCTTCAGCAGCCCATGTGCTTGCCATAAAAGGCGACTATGCTTGTCGTAAGAGGCGACTAACGGGATCGGGTGGTCAGTTTCGCTGACACATGTCATCGGTTCCCCATTGCGCAGATCGATGATCATGCTGTTGCTCACTGGATTGTCTGGTCCAGACTCGATTATTTACAGACCGCCGCCATATAGCTGAGATATTGCTGAGTGCGGCGTAAAACTAAACTCACTCACTCACTCATCAAAGCCGTTACGCCTCACCCACAAGGCCAGTCGGTCAAAGACTTTCATGATGGTGCTAAGGGAAGGGTTCTACTTAACTGGATTGACAACGTTAAGCAATTACGGTATGAGCTAGCAACAACTTCAAGTGAAATTTTGAGACAAAAACTTTATTATAAATTAGAAAATGATATCAAGAGTTAACAAAAATATAATGCAGCTTTTTTCATCCGACAAAACCCAAAGAACCACCGAAAACGGACGTCAGCAGAAAGTCTATAATACTGTCATGAAGAGACACGAGCACATGCACCTTGGGTGTTGTAGCCCTTGAACTTCAGGGAGCCGTGTTATCTGAAGAAGAGAGGGAATGATTGTATATGATAACTCTACACCTGACATTTGAGACAAACTCAGCGCGGAAATTCGATGGTAGGTTTTACAATAGAGTATTATGTCTATGTCGACCATTGTGTGGGGTAGGGGGTCAGTCACTCAGTGTAATAACGAGCAAGTGTCAGAGAAGGGCATGTAATAACAGGAAAGTATCTGAGAACATCCTGTTATTATAATGGAAGTGTAAGAAAGATTTCTGTAAATACAATGGGAAATGCCGAAGAACATTCTGTAGCAATGGCTCTGAATCGTCGTAGTAATAGGAGTGGGGTGGGGTTGGGGGCAGTCAAAGAACATTCTATGGGAATACGTTCGGAAAAGTGTCGGAGAACATTCTGTAGGAATAACAGTTGAGGGTCAGAGAACATTCTGTACGAATAAGAGGGAAGGGTCAGGGAGCATTCTGTAGGAATAACGGGGAAGTGTCGGAGAACATTCTGTAGGAATAATGGAGAAGTGTCTGAGCACATTCTGTACGAATAACGGGGAAGTGTCAGGGAACAATCTGTACGAATAACAGGGAGGTGCCAGAGAACATTCTGTAGGAATAACATTTGAGGGTCAGAGAACATTCTGTACGAATAACAGGGAAGTGTCGGAGAACAATCTGTACGAATAACAGGGAGGTGTCAGAGAACATTCTGTAGGAACAACAATTGAGGGTCAGAGAACATTTTGTACGAATAACAGGGAAGTTTCGGAGAACAATCTGTACGAATAACAGGGAGGTGTCAGAGAACAATCTGTAGGAACAACAATTGAGGGTCAGAGAACATTTTGTACGAATAACAGGGAAGTGTCGGAGAACAATCTGTACGAATAACAGGGAGGTGTCAGAGAACAATCTGTACGAATAACAGGGAGGTGTCAGAGAACATTCTGTAGGAACAACAATTGAGGGTCGGAGAACATTTTGTGCGAATAACAGGGAAGTGTCTGAGAACATTCTGTAGGAATAACAGGTAAGTGTCAGAGAGCTTTCTGTAGGAATAACGGGGAAGTGTCGGAGATCAGGGAAGTGTCGGAGAACATTCTGTAGGAATAACAGGTAAGTGTCAGAGAGCTTTCTGTAGGAATAACGGGGAAGTGTCAGAGAACAGGGAAGTGTCGGAGAACATTCTGTAGGAATAAAAGGTAAGTGTCAGAGAGCTTTCTGTAGGAATAACGGGGAAGTGTCAGAGAACAGGGAAGTGTCGGAGAACATTCTGTAGGAATAACAGGTAAGTGTCAGAGAGCTTTCTGTAGGAATAACGGGGAAGTGTCAGAGAACAGGGAAGTGTCGGAGAACATTCTGTAGGAATAACAGGGAAGTGTCGGAGAACATCCTGTAGTAATACCAGGTAAGAATTGGAGAACATTATGTAGGAATAACAGGGAAGTGTCGGAGAACATTCTGTACAAATAACAGGGAAGTGTCTGAGAACATTCTATAGGAATTACGGAGAAGTGTCAGGGAACATTCTGTAGGATTAACGGGGAGTGTCAGAGAACATTATGGAGGAATAACGGGGAGTGTCAAAGAACATTATGTAGGAGTAACGGGAGAGTTGTTATCCATAAAGTGTGTTCTATATTGTACTTCCCAACTTCTAAAATGGCACTCAAAGAAGTTAACATTCTGTAAGAATAACGGGGGAATGTCAGGGAACATTCTGTAGGAATAGCATGTGGTTGGGGGTTATACCCAATAAGGTTTTGAGGACATTCCCATGTAGTACCTGTGGAGGTTCAGAGAACATCCTTCTGGGGTACCTGATATGGTCAGAGCACATGCTTGAGTGATACCTCAGGGGGCCAATGAGACATCCATTTGTGATACCTGGGGGCATCATTTGTGTTACTGTTCGGGGGTAGGGGAGGCAAGACGACATCCTTCACTCACCAGAGTTGACTTCTTCGGGGCAGTCATACTCGCAGCATGAACCCGGCCGTTGCCTGAAATTGGCACACTTTGGCCTCTCGCACATGACGGAGCGGCAGATGACCTCTCCGTGTCCAAGGTGGCACGAGCAGGTGACGCAGGGGTCAGTTGGGTGTGGCACTCGGCCGAGTGGAACCAAAGACGTGTGTCCCCGGAAGTACTGATTGTAGCAGCCATATTCCAGACACTCTGCGCAACATCCGCTTGAATACTGAAATAACAATGAAGAAATGTTAGGATACTATTTGGTGCGGCTGATCTATGTTGTTGTTGTCGTTGTTTTGTTTTTTGTAATAGTATTCCACGTGAACGCTTAAAAGCACAGTTTCATCCAGGTTATATATGATTTTGGAATCGATTCACCGATAACAGTAAGACGATATAGTATTACTCAAATGAAACTATTTTAACCGATAACCTGTTGAGACTGTACTTGGGCAAATTGCCAATCTGCTGATCGGCCAATGCAATAAATGTTATACTTTCCTGCTAGTTTTCAGATTAAAAACAAATACAAAAACAGCTAATAAACCAGGGTGTGCACCTTTCATAAGAGGGGTTGGTGGTTCACTCGTCCCTATACGCCTGAAATAATACCGATGTGACGTTTTACTCACTCACTTACAACTAGCTCATAGGGCGTTTTAGCACATACACAACATGGCATGAAGGAGGGATCCTCCTCGTATCACACCCAAATCCCTAACTTAGTGTTCCTGCGCAATACAAAATAGAAATTCCTCCATCAAGTTTGAGCGCCTATAATTTTACACCCTTTTTTCAAACTACAAGCAATATCACGGCGGGAGACACACAAAATGGGCTTCACACATTGTGCCCATCTTAGGATTCGAACTCGGGCTCTCGGCCTGGCGAGCGAACGCTTTCAACACCAGTTACAGGATACCCATCCTCCAATAAGGATTTATCACTTAAGAATGTTACGATAGCAACTGAAGTTTTAGTCAACTACTCTCTATAATGATAAAACACAGAAATATGGCAAATGCCTGCTTGTCCTCATGATACCATCACTACTGGAACGTTTGGCAAGGACGAAAGGCCTAGTGCTAATTTATATCACTTTGATTTGTAAGGTTATTGCAGTATTTTCTGTAAATAAATTATTTGAGCTAAACAGCGCACAGATTTTCAAGGACCTATTTACACCTAGGTAAAAAAAACGTAACATTTTATGAGACGAAATTGTTTTAAATCCACGAGGTCTAATGGCATGTTTTTCGTTCATAACGCCTAGAAAAGTTTGTCTGTATTAATAGGTTGACTACGAAAACATTGAAAATAATATTTACAACACTGTTACAAGTTCAAACAAACGCCATTCGAATATGAAAAAGTAGGACTCACCCGAAGACACGGATTGACGGTTTCTGTATGATTACATTCCGGGTACCGGCAGGTGTACATGTCATCATCACCGCACGTGCAGGTGAGACACCCGAACGTTGTGGTGTGTCCTTCCTCCACCATGCCGTCCCTAGAGGGACAGCCTCCTACCACGCCTCCAACGAAGACCACAGCAACGACGATTAACGTAAGCATGTTGATACGACAAGGTGCTCTGTTTGCTCTCTCGCTGTTGTCGCTATAAGGAAACGGGGGGTATTGTGTTGGTTTATATAGCGATGCTGGAGCACGGGGGCATGTCAAAGACAGTGGAGGAGTATTACCTCCCACTGACGTCTCTAGACATGATAAGGAGCACACACGTACCCACCTCGAAAATTGTTTATTGGTATTGCATCATTTTTTATCTCTGATAAAACGTCATTTTAAGCGGATGTGAATTTGCAGGAAAATAGAAACAGGATTCCATTGGGTTGTTACGTTGGTAGAACCATATATCACGCAAGGCAGTGTAAACAACCGGAAAGGACTTGTAAATCACTTTAGGAAGTGAAAACATTTCATTGTCTTAAACAAGTTTAACTTATATAACATCGCAAATTAGAAATATGACCAATAATCCGTTTTGAATGTTGAAAACGTTTAGTAATAATAAGATGAGTGAGTTTAGTTTTAGACTGCTTTTAGCAATATTCCAGAAATATCATGTCAGGGGACACCAGAAATGGGCATCACAGAGTGTACCCATGTGAGGAATCGAACCCGGTGTGACGAGCCAACGCTTTAACGACTCGGCTTCCCCATCGCCCCAGACAGTGAGGCTGAGGGTTAACGTGTTCGTTAGTCTCTCTAAACAGCTAGGTTTGTTTCCAGATATGAGTACGTTGTCACGTACGTTGTATCGGAGTTCAAGCTTAGAATTGATCTTCTTCAAGCATGGGCACAATGTGTGAAGCCCATTTCTGGTGTCCCCCGCCGTGATGTTGCTGGAATATTGCTAAAAGGGGCGTAAAACCAAACTCAGTCAGTCAGTCAGTCTTCATCAAGCCATATTTTTCGTGTGAGTCGATAAAATGAAACAGATGGTCAGACTTGCTGACGTTGTTGAAGCATGACCTATGGACCCGTGAAGATCCATGTTCGACTTCGTCTTCAGTAACCATTGCTTGTCGTAAGAGGCGACTTACGGGACCGTGTGGTCAGACTCGCTGACTTGCTTTACACATGCCATCGTATCCCAATTGCGTAGATCAATGCTCATGATTTCAATCAGTGGACTATAAATTCAAGGCTCGATCATCTATTGCTGAGTGTGCCTTTAAGCAACAAAAACAACGTTGTGCGAAGACACTGTTAGAATATTGCTAAATACAGAGTAAATCCATACACACGCACATTCACAATTTTACCGAATAATCATTAAATTTTTCAAACTTAATTTCGAATATTAGAGTGCATTTAAGTAAATGCATTGGAAATTAAATTGGGGCTCATGAAGGAAACGTGACAACAAGGAGAAATCGTCTCCACAATGGTGACATTTCCCCTCCTGTAAACAAATTCCAAGCAATTTCTAAGTGTTAGGCTACGAGTTAGATACTTAACGTATTGCGTTACTCTCCATCCCAATGTTATTTCAATTTAATAACCGTCTGACGGCTGGAGGCGTGCCATGATGCCTATATCCGGCCACACAGTGATAGTTCACACGTGGGAACGGCCATTGTGTCACTCGGAGTAACTCGGTAAATTTCGTCACTGATTTTTTTTTCCCACGATTCCACCGGAAGCAGCCGGAGGTTTGGAATGCATGGACTGCGCTTGTTCTTGCGTGTTTACATCCTTGTATGGTAACTGATGGATGGCGTACATCCGGTTTCAGAATTGTGTAAATGAAAACTACTACATAAAAGACTGCAATATAATATTCTGGAGTGACTGACGAATCAGTTTTTAAACTGTGATTCTTATGACGCCACATCATCATCATCATCATCATCATCATCATCATCATCATCATCATCTCGATCGAAGACCTTGGTTTAGACTTGGAAAAGAGGTTTAGCCCCCCCGGGTAAAGCGTTCGCTCTTCTTCCGAGACTGGATTCGATCCCAACAATTTAATCGTATATTATATTAATCCCAGAGTCGATGTCCATGACGTGATATGGTTTGAAATATTGCAATAGAATGACAATAATCCACAATCACCCACCTGTTCTAGCCAGAGAGTGACAGCTTTGAAATTGACATACCCGTGTCGGAGGGTCTCGCCGTAACTTCGGCGTTCGGCCATACCTGAGATATAACGGAAATACGCAGATTTAACGGAAATACTATTCAAAGCGCCTGATCAAAACACACTGTTTTTTCCACAAAAACAACGTGCAATCTGCGATGAGTGAATGAGTGGGTTTAGTTTACGACGCACTCAGCTGTATGGCGGTGGTCTTTAAATAATCGAGTCTGGACCAGACAATCCAGTGATCAACAGCATGAGCATTGATCTACGCAAATGGGATACGATGACATGTGTCGACCAAGTCAGCGAGTCTGACCACCCGATCCCGTCAGTCGCCTCTTACGACAAGCATGGGTTGCTGAAGACCAATTCTATCCAGGATCTTCGCGGGTACAGACTTCCCAGGAATCAAATTGTTTCATCGATATTAACTGGTAAATCTCATTAATAATCATGTGTTCGTGACTATTAAGCTACGCCCACAATTGTACTGTAAAAAGCAAAGATATTACGAATGTAAATGCCTGATACCGCTACCATCCACTAAGGAAATCTGCATCATAATGTCTTATTTACAAAGTATTTAAAAGCAGTCTCATGTTCTATCAAATCTATACAACAGTCTCAAATCTATACAACAGTTGTTATTTGCAGTCGCAATATGTGCAAAAACGTACTGTGTGGTCAAGTGGATAGAGTGCCTATCCAGAGTTAGTGAGTGAATATGGTTTTAAGCCGCTTTTATCAATATTGAAGCAAAATCACGGAGGGGGACGTCATACATTTTATCCACGTGGGGAATCGAACCTGGGTCTTCGGCGTGGGGAGCGATGGCTTTAACCACTAGGCTACCCCACCGCCCCCTAACCAGAGTGAGTGAGTGTGCATGATTTTGCGCCGCCTTTAGCAATATTCCAGCAATATCACGGCGGGGGACGCCGGAAATGAGATTTTTCATTAATTCACCACAACACATTCACTCACCAATCACACTTGCAAGTTTCAAATAATTACAGTAAGTTTGTTTAAGTTCATGTTCAATCACCCTTTAGCTTTTCTTCATTAGGGAAGAAGAAGAAAGATTTCAGAAAATTTGCAAAATCATGATATAACATCCATTTTTTATAAAACTTATCTTGTTCACTTTTACTGAAGGATATATTCTTTTCAATAAAGCACCTATGTTTTAAATAATGTATAAAATGTTTAAAAACTAAGAGTAGTTTTAAATACCATACAATTATATATGAAGAATTTAGCTAACAACAATATTAAATGAAATACATCATCAGTATATACATTTGTTCTCATTCCAAACACAGTAAGTTGCAGGTCCAATTTCATGTTGTGAACATGTTGACATTTATCATTCAATAATTCTAGAAAACATCTCCAAAAAGTTTGCACATGTTCACAATACCAAAACAAGTGGGAGAGTGTTTCAACCTCACATTGGCAAAAGGTACGTAAGTTGCTTTCAGCTAATTTGATCTTAAATAAAAATGAGTGAGTGAGTTGGGTTTAACGCCGCTTTTAGCAATGTTCCAGCAATGGGCTTCACACATTGTACTTAAAATGAATTAGTTGATAGAATAGAATGTATAATCCTGAACTGAAACCATCGAAGTTTAGTATCCCTTGAAGTCTTTAAAGGTTTTTAAAATATTTTTCCCATTCAAGTTCAGCAAGCATACAATCCTCCCACTCATTCTTGAATTTTAAGTTAACATCAGATGCAGTCAAAACATAGTAATAACACTTGGCTCCCCTCTCAACAGACATCAGTTTTCGATTAACTGTATTATTATCTAACTGCTTGGGAGAGTAAGAAAGAGATAATTCAATTTTGAAATTAGTAATGATTTTATAATAGCAATTCTACCAAGTGGTGTGATTATTCTTTTCTTTTCACCTGTTGATAATTAACTGAATCTTAAATAATTTATTTGCAAAATTCTTTCTAGCCATAACATTTAAATCTGTTGAAACTGTTACACCTAGGAGCTTGAAATAGTCTGGATTCCATTGCACGTTTAAACAAGGTAAGTATCTGATTGAACTGTTCTTTCTTGCCCCTATCCATATTATCATAGTTAATCTTAAGACCTGAGATATCAGCAAAAAAGTTCAAAGTGTCAACTGTAGCTTCAAAAGATTTCTAAGAACCATCTGGGAGAAACAAAGAGCTCCATTCAAATAAAAAAAAGAGCCCCATTGAGAAGGGATATGAACCTGAGAAAATCAAGACTTGCTTCATTTCGAGCGTTTGAGGGGCAGTGGGATAGCCTAGTGGCTAAAGCGTTGGCTTGTCACGCGGAAGATCCGGGTTCGATTCCCCACATGGGTACAATGTGTGAAGCCCGCCGTGATATTTCTGGAATATTACTGAAAGTGGCGTAAAAACTATACTCACTCACTCACTCGGGCGTTTGCATTACAGGCAGTACTGGCTTGAAAAGAAAACAATATGGCTTAGTGGCTATGGGTGGACTATATCCTAGTGGCGTAGGTAACACTATACAAACCGGCATTTTTCCACGCACGCACGCACACACACACACACATACACACACATTGTGTAGTTGTATAAGCGTTATTTCATCTTTCATCTCACCACACCTGACAAGAGGATGTGGCGGTTAGGTTTAGCAGCGTCCTTGCGACATTACGTGGCTTCGTGACCGGGTTAGGCTAATGCTCATAATATCAGTCACTGGTTTTCTTGATCTTAAACTGAATGTTGATAAGCAAACGTCATAAAGGTGGAATATTACTGAGCACGATATACGACAGCAAACACATTTTGAGGACAAACTCGTATCCAGAGGAGCGAGCTATACTGGGAATGATTGCAATGCCGAGAAGGATGAGATGTGTCCTTATTCCCATATGACAGCCAGCCTCTTGATATCTGGGTTAACTGTAGATACGTGATCCCGTCGTGAGAACCGGGACATGACAATAATTACTGCTGCACTTACATCACCCATTACCAATCGATTGAGTACACACTGGATGGTTGTTAGAGAAATTAGTTCCCAGCCTAATTTTTTATATATGCAGTGACTGTTAAGGAGGCAAAGAAACAAGATGGCGTTGTTTTCTCGTGGGTTCTCGCCATCTATCGCGTGAATGCTCGTTATGGTGTTCGTTCCTGGAAGTCTGGAATGTACTTCAAACAGAAGTTTGTTTGTTTGGACAAAGGTCGCTTTGTGAACCGATTCCGAAAAACGGTACACCATCTCCCTGTCCCCTACCACGGTACATCATCTCCCTGTCCCCTACCACGCTACATCATCTCCCTGTCCCCTACCACGGTACACCATCTCCCTGTCCCCTACCACGCTACACCATCTCCCTGTCCCCTACCACGGTACATCATCTCCTTGTCCCCTACCACGCTACATCATCTCCTTGTCCCCTACCACGCTACACCATCTCCCTGTCCCCGACCACGCTACACCATCTCCCTGTCCCCTACCACGGTACATCATCTCCTTGTCCCCTACCATGGTACATCATCTCCCTGTCCCTGACCACGGTACATCATCTCCCTGTCCCCTACCACGGTACATCATCTCCCTGTCCCCAACACGGTACATCATCTCCCTGTCCCCGACCACGGTACATCATCTCCCTGTCCCCGACCACGGTACACCATCTCCCCTGTCCCCTACCACACCACGGTACACCATCTCCCTGTCCCCGACCACGGTACACCCCCTGTCCCCGACCACGGTACATCATCTCCCCTGTCCCCGACCACGGTACACCATCTCCCCTGTCCCCGACCACGGTACATCATCTCCCTGTCGACCACGGTACACCATCTCCCTGTCCCACCACCACGGTACATCATCTCCTGTCCCGACCACGGTACATCATCTCCCTGTCCCCGACCACGGTACACCATCTCCCTGTCCCCGACCACGGTACACCATCTCCCTGTCCCCGACCACGGTACACCATCTCCCTGTCCCCGACCACGGTACACCATCTCCCTGTCCCCTACCACGGTACATCATCTCCCTGTCCCCGACCACGGTACACCATCTCCCTGTCCCCGACCACGGTACACCATCTCCCTGTCCCCGACCACGGTACACCATCTCCCTGTCCCCGACCACGGTACACCATCTCCTGTCCCCGACCACGGTACACCATCTCCCTGTCCCCGACCACGGTACACCATCTCCCTGTCCCCGACCACGGTACATCATCTCCCTGTCCCCGACCACGGTACACCATCTCCCTGTCCCCGACCACGGTACACCATCTCCCTGTCCCCGACCACGGTACATCATCTCCCTGTCCCCGACCACGGTACACCATCTCCCTGTCCCCGACCACGGTACACCATCTCCCTGTCCCCGACCACGGTACACCATCTCCCTGTCCCCTACCACGGTACACCATCTCTCCTGTCCCCGACCACGGTACACCATCTCCCTGTCCCCGACCACGGTACACCATCTCCCTGTCCCCGACCACGGTACACCATCTCCCTGTCCCCGACCACGGTACACCATCTCCCTGTCCCCGACCACGGTACACCATCTCCCTGTCCCCTGACCACGGTACACCATCTCCCTGTCCCCGACCACGGTACACCATCTCCCTGTCCCCGACCACGGTACATCATCTCCCTGTCCCCGACCACGGTACACCATCTCCCTGTCCCCGACCACGGTACACCATCTCCCTGTCCCCGACCACGGTACACCATCTCCCTGTCCCCGACCACGGTACACCATCTCCCCTGTCCCCGACCATGGTACACCATCTCCCTGTCCCCGACCACGGTACACCATCTCCCTGTCCCCGACCACGGTACATCATCTCCCTGTCCCCGACCACGGTACACCATCTCCCTGTCCCCGACCATGGTACACCATCTCCCTGTCCCCGACCACGGTACACCATCTCCCTGTCCCCGACCACGGTACACCATCTCCCTGTCCCCGACCACGGTACACCATCTCCCTGTCCCCTACCACGGTACACCATCTCCCTGTCCCCGACCACGGTACACCATCTCCCTGTCCCCGACCACGGTACACCATCTCCCTGTCCCCGACCACGGTACACCATCTCCCTGTCCCCGACCACGGTACACCATCTCCCTGTCCCCGACCACGGTACACCATCTCCCTGTCCCCGACCACGGTACACCATCTCCCTGTCCCCGACCACGGTACACCATCTCCCTGTCCCCGACCACGGTACACCATCTCCCTGTCCCCGACCACGGTACACCATCTCCCTGTCCCCGACCACGGTACACCATCTCCCTGTCCCTACCACGGTACATCATCTCCCTGTCCCCGACCACGGTACACCATCTCCCTGTCCCCTACCATGGTACATCATCTCCCTGTCCCCGACCACGGTACACCATCTCCCTGTCCCCGACCACGGTACATCTCCCCTGTCCCCGACCACGGTACACCATCTCCCTGTCCCCGACCACGGTACACACCATCTCCTGGTACCACCATCTCCCTGTCCCCGACCACGGTACATCATCTCCCCTGTCCCCGACCACGGTACACCATCTCCTGTCCCCGACCACGGTACACCATCTCCCTGTCCCCGACCACGGTACACCATCTCCCTGTCCCCGACCACGGTACACCATCTCCCTGTCCCCGACCACGGTACACCATCTCCCTGTCCCCGACCACGGTACACCATCTCCCTGTCCCCGACCACGGTACATCATCTCCCTGTCCCCGACCACGGTACACCATCTCCCTGTCCCCGACCACGGTACACCATCTCCCTGTCCCCGACCACGGTACACCATCTCCCTGTCCCCTACCACGGTACACCATCTCCCTGTCCCCGACCACGGTACACCATCTCCCTGTCCCCTACCATGGTACATCATCTCCCTGTCCCCTACCACGGTACATCATCTCCCTGTCCCCGACCACGGTACACCATCTCTCTGTCCCCGACCACGGTACACCATCTACCTGTCAGCAACCACGTGACGTGTTCCACACCATGTACAGCAGATTTTGTGGTGATTATTTCCTGAAAACAAAATAGCCAAGCCAAGTAGACACCGGATGCTACAAGAACACAAGTCTTTATTTAACACCATATGTTCCTATCAACCAATAATCTGGTCGTACAAACATTGTTGTAGATATACATATGTCAATGCTGGAATATAACCAGTCTCAATTTTACAGAGAAACAAATTATATTGGGCGTGAAATGGAAAACAGCGGTGACACCAGGTGTTCGTCAGGAAAGACTTTGTCTCAGATGAATAATAAGCATGTTCTTGCAGTAACCATAACCTCCGTGATATGGGATCTTTTCAAGATCCCATAACGTCGTCATATGTACGAAATATTCTCAAGAACGACGTTAAACCCAATTCCACCAACACCACCACCATCAAGATCCCATATGTAAAATGTATGTGGGAACGCACCAACAGGGAGTGTTGATATCAGGAACGGTTTCTGAACACGAAGATGTTTGGGAGTCCAATTGATTATATCCACACGAGAATGCACGTCATTATATAAGTGCAATGATTTTTCTCGCAGCGTTCACGTCACCTTTGACCCTTGAAGATCCGGGGTAGAATAGGTCTTCAGCAACCCATGCTTGCCACAAAAGGCGACTATGCTTGTCGTACGAGGCGACTAACGGGATCGGGTGGTCAGGCTCGCTGACTTGGTTGACACATGTCATCGGTTCCCAATTACGCAGATCGATGCTCGTGCTGTAGATCGATGGATTGTCTGGTCCAGACTCGATTATTTACAGACTGCTGCCATATATAGCTGGTACAATGCTGGGTGCGGCGTAAAATTAAACTCACTCACTTACTCAAGTCACCTGTAAATAAGTCGCATTTAGATTCCCCGGCTTGGCACACTTGAGATATCACGTGACTTTGATTTGTAGAAAGACAGTTATGGTTTAAAAATGGATCACGACAACTTCGAGAATAGAGTTGGGGTCATTCGTCACCATCCGCCCCTTTCCGTAGCCTCCGTCGTTATTCGGCTTGATATACTAAGAGAAAACAAATAAAGGATCACAGGAAAATTCCAGCGTTCCTTTATTACTGTCCAGTTTTCATCACCACAGCGCTATTCAAAGCTGATGATGAAAACTGGAAAATATTAAAAGAACGCTTGAATGTTCCTGTGATCCTTTATTTGTTTCTCTCAGTATATATGCTTGAAAACGGTATAAGAATCTCGTTTTTGTCATCTCGTTATTCGGCTTGTCCCGGTATAACCCGGTTGTGTCACGAGTTAGTTGGGGTTTGTCACGTGATAGTCACGTGTCTGAGCACGTTCAACAGACCGAAATAGTCAGTGAGTGAGTTTGATGTTACGCCGCTATCAGTATTCCAGCAATATCACGGTGGACACCAGAAATGGGCTTCACACATTGTATCCATGTGGGGAATCGAAAACGGGTCTTTGGTATGACGAACGAACACTTTAACCACTTGGCTCCCCCCACCGCCCAACAGACCGAAATAACCAATCGAGTATGGAGTGTCATATATTGTTTAACTTTATTGAATTCACAGTCGACTCGCCAGACACCAAACGTAGGGATACCCCATCTCACAGGTGCAGGACTGATGACCCGGGGCTTGGACTGTGATGTCCCCTAGCGGCACAATAGGAAGATCATGGACCAGCGCGAATGGATAAGGTTCGTCCCATATGTTGTAGCAGCCATACTCCTCGCAGAGGTCCCAGGTTTTCTGAAATTGTAGCAAAGTTAATTTCATATTCGAGTATGTCTTATGTCAAAAACATTGTCATAGAGTGAAACATACATCTCTGTTGTACGTAATGTATTTACAGTTGCGGATCCAGAGAGAGAGAGAGAGAGAGAGAGAGAGGAGAGGAGGGTGTTTCAGGGGGTTCGAACCCCCCTTTTGAAAATGACTAAAGACCACATTAAAGTTAATGTTTTGCAATGGCAGAGCCAAGGTGGGGTTCAGGTACCCCCTGACACACACACCCCACTTGAAAATTTCTGGATCCGCCTATGATTTATTAGGTGGGACCGTTGGGTAGCCTAGTTCAATTGGGTTCGAATCCCCGCATGAAGTCCATATCTGGTGCCCTCCTCCGTGTAATTTCTGGAATATTAGTAAATGCGGCCTAGAACCATACTCACTCACTGATTACTTGGGTCTTTAACATTGGGTCCAGTCTCTAATTAACATATATTTGGATTGATTTGTATAGAAAGCCCCTCAACAATATTTCAGCCATAAGACAATGGGCTTATGACACGCATGCGTTGCTGAAGACCAATTCTAACCCGGATCTTCACAGGTCCAAAGGGAATGTGTGGATATGTGAGTGAGTGAGTTTAGAAATACTCCTGCTATATCACCACATGGGACATCACGTATGGAAGAGTATACGGAGAATGGTAAAGTACTTTTTGCCCGGCCGCTTATATCATTGTATGCTGTTACCAGTTTCGCATTTAAGCAGTTGGCGTCAAGCAAGGCCTCAACGTTATCCACAACACAAAGGCGTTTGCGACAAAAGATAATTACGAAATTACCAAGCACACAAATTCTGTCTGTTTCACATAATTACACCCGGAGACAGACAAAGTGGGTTTTTTAATTACATCCGACCTTTAGTCGTCACAATATTGACACTGGCCTTTCAGAAAGGTCACTTGTAAAGACAACTAATCGTGATACTGTCTGTTCCAGACTTCCCCTGGGCTATCTGTTGTTCTATTGTTTCAATTTATTATCTATTGTATTATTTGACTCCACGGGAGATACTGTAAATTATTACATTAATGAGAATAAAACAATTATTCCTTGCTGACATTAATGTAATGTCACAAATATTCCGGTTGGAATCAATCTTCAGCAACCCATACTTGTCGTGTCGACTTACGGGATGGCTGATCAGGTTCGCTCACTTGGTTTTGTTTCTTTGTTTGTTTGTTTGTTTGCTGTTTGTTGTTAAACGCCGCACTCAGCAATATTGCAGCTATATGACGTAGGTCTGTAAATATCCAGGGCTTGGATTTTCGAAGCTCTCTTAGCGCTAAGTTAGTCGTAAGTGCCATGCATTAACATTAACTTACGACTATCTTAGCTCTAAGAGAACTTCGAAAATCTAGGCCCAGGACCAGACTATCCAGTGATCAGCAGCATGAGCATCAATCAACGCAATTGAGATACGAGGACATGTGTCAACTAACCCAACAAGTCTCACCATCCGATCCCGTTAATTGCCTCTTATGACAAGTAAGGGTTACTGAAGACCAATTCTAACGATCTTCGCCGTTCGCTTACTTGATTGATGCATGTTACTGCTTAGCTCGATGGACACTTGATTGTCTGGCCCCGAGATGATTATATACAGAACGCCGTCATATAGCTGGAATATTGATGAATGCGCAAACCAAAACAAATAAAACATTAATGAACATTCTGGTACAGCAATAAAGGGCGTGGCGAATTCATTACACATATATATTAATACGTTCGTATGACCAAACAATCTAGTGATGGATATAATAAGAATCGTCTAACGCCGCTTCATATCCCAAAACGGTTTAAAAATGGTACTTTTTGTTACTCTTACGTTTAATAAGCACTGGAACCCGTGAAGGTCCGGGTTAGAATGAACCTTCAGTAACTCATACTTGTCGTAAGAGGCGACTAACAGGTTCGGGTGGTCAGGCTCGCTGGTTCATCGGTTCCCAATTGCGTAGATCGATGTTCATGCTGTTGATCACTGGATTGTCTGGTCAAGACTCGATTATTTACAGACCGCCGCCATATATAGCTGGAATATTGCTAGGTGCGGCGTAAAACTAGACTCACTCACTCAACAAGCACTGGTCAGATCGGAATAGTGTTTCAAGTGAGGAGTGCATATTAAAAGCTGCGGTATGTTTTATGGTGGGCTAGTAATATCAATCCGGCATTAGTTCGGACTAGTACGCGCAAACACGCGCACGCCCACACGTGCATGACGTCGATATAGCAGAAATGACGTCTCCACTCTAAAATTACGGAGTACAGTTGCTTTGTATAAAGCGTTCGCTTGTCACGCCGAATTCCCCACATGGGTTCAATGTCTGAAGCCCATTTCTGGTGTCCCCCGCCGTGATATTGCTGGAATGCTGCTAAAAGCGGCGTAAAACAAAACTCACTTACATTATAACAGGGGTTGTCCATGTGTTCGACGTCGTAGCAGATGTTGTCACAGATTATCTCCCCTTCCTGACAAAAGCAGGCATCACATCCTGACTCCCACTCTTCGAAGTCGTCACGGACCACCCCGTCCACCACACAGAACCCGCTGATCCCCGGGGTAACGCCCACCAGCACCAGGAGCCCTACAACTACAAGCATCATCAGGTCGCTGAGTTCAGCGTGTGTGCGAGCAGCTACTTAATGCTGTGTTTATACCAGCCACATCATTACGGTCATTAAAGCGTTATGGTCTGTTTCAATATATGTAAACAACGAAACTTAAATAATCAGAAAATTTCAATTTCAATTTTCCAGAAAAGAGGGAACCTAGATAATCCGAATTTTTCAATTTCAACTTTTCAATATATGAAAACAGCGAAACTTATATAATCCGATTTTTTTCAGTTTCAATTTTCCAATATATGAAAACGGCGAACCCTAGATAACCTGATAGCAACTGATTTTTCTATATACGTAAACAGCGAATTCTTAATAATTAACGCTTCGACCACTAGGTTGAAGTAGCGCCGAAGATGCCACATCTGAAGATGTAGTGGACGCTGTCCAGCGCAGGGAGGTGGCTGACCGACGTCCGACTACATGTGACACTATCGGTCATCTTCACTGACACATAAGGGACAGTTCATAATTTATGGCTAGTGGGGAGGTGAATGACCCCCCACCACACACACACACACACACACACGCACACTAAATTATATGTGCAAAGTAAGTTACCCCGCCATTCATATCATGTACAAAATCAATGACCCCCACCCCCATAATATTTAGCCTTATGTTTTCAAAATTTCTATGTACAGAATTGATGACCCCCCCTGCCTCCCCAGAACAAAATGGGTGACCCCCCTTAAATCATCATCATCGGGGGGCGGGAGGGAATAGTCTTGATAGTCCTGATGGTTGTGTTGAACGTAGACTAACATCAATACTAGACTCTGAACTGAACAGTTTTTACAAAAGAAAAATCATTCCTAAGTCATATTTAAAACATATAATAAAGGGAACCCACAGATTTTCTTAATTGTCATTGAAACTAGTAATCTAGTCACGTATTCTAGACTTGCATGGGCTGTATTGCGTATGTTTGGTCCAGTGTCTCCATGGCAGGCTGTGATGGGGGTGCTTTTATACACTCAGGGGCAAAAGAAACGATACCATATTATTGAGGCTAATTAATAAAAGATGACAAAAGATAAACAGAAAATCAATGTTGTAATTAGAAGACAAATAGGTGAGGAGCATGGAAAATCAAATTCATTAATCGAGGCCAATAATTGTTTGAGATAGTTGCAAAAAAACACATAATATTCATATGTCCTGTATTCGATCACTCCAGTAAGATGAGATACGTCAATGTCTGTGACACAGAGACACTCCTGCGAGTCAATATCGAGTGTGGTCACCACCGGCATCGATGCAGGCTCTAACACGACGTCGAACAGATGAGGTCAGACGTCTGATCACGTGAGGAGGTATCCTGTTCCACTCCTCCCTCAAAGCTTGGATAAGGGTTTGTCTGTTCACTGGGGCGACCTGTCTGGCACGAATCTGTCTCCCAAGATGGTCCCACAAATGCTCAATGGGTGAAAGATCCGGAGAGCGTGATGGCCATGGCAGGACAACAACGTTGTTGGCGTTGAGAAAGCCTTGAACACGTTGAGCTGTGTGACATGGGGCGTTGTCCTGTTGAAATACGGTTCTTGGATTCTGTTGTAGGAAGGGTAGAACAACTGGCCGAAGGACTTGGTCGATATAACGCTGCCCATTCAAATTCCCATCGACAACAACCAGATCTGTCTTTCTGTCACCACATATCCCCCCACACCATAACGCCACCACCGCCAAACGGCTCAACCTCCTGCACGCAGCAACGTGCCGTCCGCTCTCCTCTGCGTCGATGCACTCGTGTCCTGCCGTCAGGTCTGTTCAGGAGGTATCTGCTCTCATCAGTAAACAAGACTCTGTCCCATTGTCTGCGCTGCCAACCTTGAACGATACGTGCCCATCTCACACGTCGACGTCGATGGAGGCGCCTCAGTGCTACACCACGGTAGGGTCTGTAGGCTCGGATACCATGCTGACGAAGTCTCCTGGACACCGTCCTTCGGCTGATACGATGACCCAGCGCAGTCGATGCTGATGATGTCACTGTGAAGAATCGGTTGCGCAAATGCAGGGTACGCAAGTACCGGTCTTCAGCTGGGGTCGTGACCCGAGGTCTGCCACTCCTCGGCCTGTCCTGTGTCCTGCTTGTCTGTCTGTAACGGGCCATCAGCCTGGTTATTGTAAGTCGGCTACAACCGAAGATCCTGGCGACGTGATTGTGGGTAGCGCCAAGCTGGATCATGCCAATTGCCCTTTCTCTCTCTTCTTGCGATAATCTCGGCATGGTCGCAAATGTAATCGTAAAATGTGGATGTCCATAAACATTTTCACGTGCTTTTATACCGAATATTTGTCACGTGTGTCATGTGTGCACGTGCACGAAACTATCGTGAATAAGTTCATTTTTCTGGGTTCTTACTTTGCACGTGCATCGCTGTTTCATTGAGTCAGCTTTGCTGTGTTCGGTTGAATGTTTCTAGCCATAGATACTCAAAACATCAAAGTCCAAACACAAATTATCATTTTAAAAGTTTGGTATCGTTTCTTTTGCCCCTGAGTGTTCCGCGACCTTCCGCTCTCCGGGCGGACGCTCTAACGACTACACCACGGAGGCGGTCTACACTCTCAGTGGGTTAGTACTAGAATCTGTACTTTACTGAGCAAGTGTAAATCGAAACATAACATGTGTTACATGTTCATTAGCGACATCCTGGTTGTTAGTCTACCGGAAATATCCAACTGGGAAATTGCCACAATGGACGAAATTAAACACGTGTCAGTCAATGATGCCTTTATATTCACAATTACAGCTTGATAACCAAACACGTGTGTCATTATTACTGCCGATCTATTCTATTGGCCATGTACTGTTATGTAACAGACTTTGTTTAATTGTCTGAAAAATGGGACAAAGATTTTTTGGTCCGCTATTGTGTCGGAAAATGCAGTATTTTTTCCAATGTGTGATTGTATGTTTAATTTGTCAACCATTTTATAGTGAATGTTTTGGTTAAGCGCCCTATTTAGCAGTTACTTCACTGTATAAGAAATCCAAAATCCCACTGAAACTGTGGGATTTATCAATTTGTTGAAACCAACAGCTCTGGGGTGATGGACAATGTCATGGAGAAGGCGAATCTAAGATTCGAGTCTATGACTAGCGTATCCTGGTACGCCTGAGGGACGGAACTCTGCCAAACGAATTCCAACACTGTACCCCCCATGAATATACATCTTACATTTCAATTCAACCAATGTGGCTATATTTGCAGTAATTGCTGCATATATAAGTGAGTGAGTGAGTTTGGTTTTACGCAGCTTTTAGCAATATTCCAGCAATATCACGGCGGGGGACACCAGAAATGGGCTTCACACATTGTACGTGGGGAATCGAACCCGGGTCTTCGGCGTGACGAGCGAACGCTTTAACCACTACAAGATCAATTCTAACCCGGATCTTCACGGGTCTAATGAATTAGAGCTCGCAAAGTTAGCACATGCACGCCTTTATTGCATAAAACCGGGAAGGAGATTCAAGCCGATATTTTATACATGTCAATATGGATCAGTGACTGATGCCTAAAATATCTCCAACAAGTGTGTGGGGCGGTGGGGTAGCCTAGTGGTTAAAGCGTTCGCTCGTCACGCCGAAGGCCCGGGTTCGATTCCCCACGTACAATGTGTGAAGCCCATTTCTGGTGTCCCCCGCCGTGATATTGCTGGAACATTGCTAAAAGCGGCGTAAAACCGAACTCACTCACTCACTCCAACAAGTGTGTAGCCTACATTCATCCAAAGTTCAAAATACATATTATTACATAATGCCATATGCCAATACTTGATAACAGTACAAAACATCAAAGACTCCGAGTGACCCTGAAGAGGAAATTACTGATAAATGTTCCTACAATCATGTGTTATGATTGCCAGACGAGCAGATGTATGTGTACATAGATCAGACCCCGTTATAAGGCGACCACACAGTTGGACTGCGCGGTATTACCGGTATACATGCAGCAACATGCTGCTCAAAGGATACCTGTTGCAATATTCCTTTTGAGAAGGGCGTGGGGTAGCCTAGTGGTTAAAGAGTTTGCTCGTCACGCCGAAGACCTGGGTTCGATTCACCAGATGGGTACAATGTGTACAGCCCATTACTCGTGTCCCACACCATGGTATTGCTGGAATATTGCTAAAAGCGGCGTAAAACCAAACTCACTCACACTCTTTTTGAGAACCAGTATAATTCGTAAGGGTTTGAAGTTTTGTGATTATCTCCAGTGTTTAAGTTCAAAACAATACAGACGTCCATTCACAGTGGTTGTTTCACTTTCCAACTAGTTGATAAAACGGCATACATATAGTACGACCAAAAATTATTGAGAATTTTAGGAATATGTTTAATTGGATTTCTAGTATAAACAACCTTGACCAGCTATCAAGTGCTTGGTTTCATTCAAGAGAGACAACTCCGTTAATCCTTTTTCATAGGTTTGTGCAGAGTAATCCCCCTTTTGTTTATTTGCTAGCAGGCGACATTTTCAGTGATCCTCAGTATGGATGATTTGGAGAAGAGGAAGATGATTTTAGAGTATTACAACAAGGACATCAGATCAGCTAAAGTGATTTCAAGTAGAACAGGCATCCCTTTGTCCACTGTTTATCGTGTTTTGAAAAATATTGCAAATGGATATGGCATTGAGCACCAGGGAGGCGCAGGTAGACCCAGAAAATTGATTGTCGGTGACAGGAGGCGGCTTAATATTCTTGTTTCTAAAAACAAACGAAGGAGTTTAGAAAACTTAAGGCTGGATATGATTGATAGAGGAGCTGTGGTTGTCTGTAAGGAGACAATTAGAACTGAGCTGCATGCAATGGGTTGGCAGAAAGTCGAGGAATTCCATCACCGATCATGAAACCTGAACAAAAGGAGCGAAGGTTGAACTGATGCTTACAGCATAGAAATTTTAACTGGGACAATGTGATTTTCTCAGATGAAAGTTCTGTGTGGCAGTTTCATAATACACTGAAATTCTGGACCAAACAAACTGAAAAACCTTTGTATCAGCGCCCAAAGTTCAGTCCGAAATTTAACGTGTGG